TAAGGTACTGCAGTTAAAACAAGTTTTGAAAACAGTAGACTTATCTCTAATCTCTCTAGTCACATTAAATTCACTCTTGCTGTTTGTAAGCAAGAGTGAATTGCTTACAAATTCAGTTGTCACACATAAAACACAATATGTATTAATAAATAAATATAATTTATTCACAATATGAATAAATTCTGAATTGATAAATTCTGAACACATTAAGACACAAATGTGCAACGAGGCTTAGAAACCAGCTGTTTTTAGAAAGCATACATGTGTACAAATAAACTGGTCTAACATTAACTGGCGGCCCAATAAAAAGCTTTTTTATAACTAAAGTGTTGCACAGTCGTATAACAATCGCTGTCTGAGCCTTAATCCAAAAGTGAAAGGACGAATCTCACTAAAACCCAGCTGCTGCTGCGAAGAAACCTTAAAAAAAAGAAAAAACTAAGTAAAACTCCCTGCACAAGACTCCACTGCTGAAGAAAAAACATCTTCAGGCTTGATTACAGTTATATATATGTATTTTCCTATCATATTTTATAGCAAAATGTGCAGATATGTAAAAGACATCTGAGACGTCTTTTAGTAGCCTTTATTTCATTTTTTCCACAAAGTATTTTAATATATTTTTACCAATGCATTCATTTTTATTTTTTCCCCTTCTGGAAATATTGAAATGTAATTTCCATATTTAACTTCATTTTTGGACAGATTTTGTTTGATTTTTTTGTTAGTTACTAAATTTTCTTTCTGTACATGTGAAAAATGTCACTGGTAGAATGGTTCAGACCAATATGTTCACATTCTTTCTGTCTAAATTAAATTAGATGTTATATGACTAATTTTGTTATCATTGTGGAAAAAGCTGGAGCTGCCATGTTGGAGAATGGAACAAGAATGAGGTTTGAAATGGAGAAACAAAACGGAAGAATCCAGTTATGAACAATGACAAATCAGAAGCTTAAATACTGAGGCTGCGTTAGAAAGTGACGAAAGAACCAGAAACGCTAATCAGAGGAAACGAAGTAGAGCTGAGGAGAGGATAAAGCAGGGAAACTGAGGGAGGAAACTAATTAACACAGAGGAAGCTAAACTAAGACTGAGGGCTCTAGAAACCAAAAAGCCTGACAACAATCTAAGAAAAATAGATTCAAACACAGAAGAGAAGAAAAAACAATGAAGCTAAACACAAAGGAATGAACTATTATGGCAACACGTTGAGAAGAATATTAAACACAGAGAAATTAACTGGATATGGCAAGACCTATTGAACATAATCAAACACAAGAAAAAGACTCAAACTAAAGGAATGCAACAGGAATGATGGTTTTTGGTTCAAATCCTTGATCAGCTGCAGGTTTTTTTTATGTTTAGGATTTATACAGGTCAGCTTTTTTCCTATAGTCCAAAGACATAAATGTTGGGAAACCTGGAGAGTCTAAGGGTGCGTTTACATCACACCAGTTCAGTCTGCTTTAATTGAACTCAAACTTATTTACCTAGAAAGTTCAGTTAATGTGAACTCTGACCTGGACCAATAAAAGTGAACCTCTGTCTAGGTCTTGGTGTGTCTGGGATGGTTTGAATGTATATGTGAAGGCCTATCAGACCTCCCCAAAAGCAGGGCATAATGCCAGAGTTTTGTGCTAGCAGGAGAAATGGATTGTGGTCTTTTACCAAAGACAAACAATCGCTAAAATCTAATGAAAGTCCATTTTTATTTACATTTCTAGAGAAGGAAGTTGCCCTCAGTGTCGTTTCCTTCAACGGTTTGTGGTGCAGCGCCACCACAGGTGAGGAGGGAAACAGCGGCTGAAAATGTAACAAATGTTGCAACTTTGGTCCCAAATCAAATTAAACTCACAGTTCTGGGTGAATTTGTGTCTATCTAAAATTAACAAAATATTTTTCTTACTGAACGCAAAAAATGTGGACCAGCAGAAACTAAAAGGACTCGGACAGTTAGCTAATTATTCTGAGAAACAACTACTTTAATAATACACACTTACATGTGTGTGTCTGTGTTTTTGCTATTGCTTCTTTGTCAAAGCAGATTGACTTTTGTTTGAACAGACTTGTGAGGAATTCCAGGTATTTAGACACATTAACAACCATTGACATCTCTTGTCACTCTCACCTGACTCACCTGTGGATCATTGCAGTCAGTGGGCTGTTTACTTACCCACCCATAATCTGCGATTTTGTTTTCACATCAATCAGTGAGAGCGTCCTCGTCAAACCGCCCGGATTGCAAGGTCTGCATTGTGTGTTGACAGCTGGTTTTGCAGAAGAGCTCCAATATCAATTTAAAGATGTTTGTCCACTTTAGCATTTATTTCAGTAAAGATGCAGCATGTTTCACACTCATGGGATAACCATAAAAGTGACAATAAAAGCTTCTTTTTGTGTGGCTCTTAATGCATGGCAGCAAATACTGCTCTTGACAAGCATTCCCATGTGTTATTTTACGACACTAGACCCATAAAGAAGTGATTTCTATTACTAAGCTGCACATAAAAAAATGCATTTAATTAGATTTTCAAATTTATTGATGTTTCTTGACACTTATTCAGTATGATGGAATGTTAGTGCCATTGTAGATAGAAAAACAAAAAACTTTGACATATCTGAGTTTCAAAAGTAAAAAAAAATGACATGAAAATAAAACAAAATCCAAAAGTTGAAAATTTGCTAGAAGAAAATAACTAAATTTGAGATTAATTTCAGAAATTTTCCAGAAAGAAAATTTGATTTTTTTTTATTTCAAAAGACAAAAATGTTTGACTTGAAAATCAGAAAAAATCCAAAAGTTGGAAATGTTGAAAACTACAAACTTTCCATGTCATTTTTTTAGGTTTGTGGGTCATTTACTTCAGTGGTTGTTGGTGCAGCGCCCCCGCAGGCGAGGAGGGGAACAAGTTTTTCAATTAGTTTGGTTTGTTTGATATGAGAGAGGGAACCACACCAGCTGAAAATGTAACAAATGTTTCCATTTTGGTTCCCAATTGAATCGAATCTACAGCCCTTTAAGAAAAGAAACTCTTTAATTTCAGTTTTCTGAACCTTTAATGAAATGTTTGTCTGGAGTCGATGCTTTCGTTCATCAGACAAGAGAAACACACACAAATGAGACTTTTCATTAACAAGAGAGTTACGAGTGGAGGGCAGGGAGTGTGTGTGTGTTTTAACGTGTGTGTGTGTGTGTGTGTGTGTGTGTGTGGGTGGTGATCATTTCCAGGAAGAGGTACAGAGGAGGGAGAGTTTGTGTGTGTGTTACTAAGTGGCTTCCTGGTCCACCGGGTGTATCCTGTTCAAAGACGCACTCACCCAGTGGGTCATGCATACGTGTGTGTTTGTCTTGTACATTAACTTTATCATCAACAACAACACACACACACACACACACACACACACACACACACACACACACACACACACACACACACACACACACGCACACACACACAAAGACTTTTTGTTGACTCCACATTCTGTCAGGATAAACCTGATTGTTGTGGGTGTCAGGTTTTGCAGATTCAGAACATCACCGAGGCGCAGACGCGTTCTTGTGTTTTGTTAGCGCCGACTTCCAGGACGGCCTGTGACCGGCAGGGAGCCGACCGCCGAAGAAGGTCAAAGTTTAATAAGAGATTGTTGAATCATTAAACCTTAAGAGATGAGGAATGTTAGCGTCCTGCGTCAGCCGTCTCGATGAAACTGAATCTGAGAAATTAAAACAAACATGTCGGTTTTCCCACACCGGCTCGTGTTCAGAACAGTGTGCAGTTATTTTAAACGAGGGAGGTTGTTTAAAAAATTTCCTGAAAATATTTAAACAATCAAAGTGTTGCAATAAGCTGGTTCATTGCAAAAACACAAAATCTTCCAAGTGTTTTTAGTGTAGTTTTAATGCAATTAATTTGAAATACACTTGAAATAAGACAAAACTGACGGACTTTGTTTAAAACTCCCACACCCAAATTAGTTGAGCTGTATAAATATTTTGTTTTTTATAAATATAAACAATATTTAGCCTTTGAAAATTGTGCAGCATCAGTTTATTCTTCTTTATTTACGGGATTAACCATTAATGCACTAAAATTTGTGTTCATAAAATAATTTTTCCTTATTTGATTTGGCACCAAACTGGCTCCAGCCCAGGGCCCCACAGGGTTATTAATACGGCCCTGCCAATCAAAAAACTTACATTTGGGCTTTTGTTCATGTAAAAGTTCACTAGACACCTGATGAATGAATGAATGAATCATGATCAGAAACTAAATGGAGTGTATTTAATGTTGAGCTTGAATAAGAAAGTCAGATTTAAAGTGAAAATATTGTGCAAAATTCACATTTGTACATTTCTATTCTTCTATTTGGGTTTTTACTGCTTCTATAAACAGTCAAAGCTCTAAAGAGACACATCCAGCTGTTCTGGAAATTAGCTCATGCTTTTTGGTATCTGGAAAATGTACCATTTCAAGAAACCTCCAGGTTATGACGTCACAATGGGCGGGCACCATTCTGTTACCCAGCAACCAGGCGGAGCTCCACCCACTATGCGCTCCATGATGGCTGTTTTGTTGTTGACAGTTCCACATCTCTTTGCTGCTATTTTCACGTGGATCAAACGGGACTGTAAACATTGCGTGGGGGCGGGGGGCGTGGCCAACAGCAGTCAACCGGCAAAACAGAGACAGAGCCATGAAACAGCTCAAAATCACCAAACTAACGTTTTAGATTTTGTGTTATGAACATGTTTAATATAGATCTGTCTTAATTTGTTTAAAAGGAAGCACATGATAGGCCACCTTTAATTAAGCCAATTAGAGTAAACGCTTCAGTTAATCCTTCATGATTTACAAATCTGGAGCATCATGACGTGTTTATGTCTTTATTGGCTGCTCTGTCTTATCTCGACCTGTTTGTCTGCTGGGTGCTGATTATTCCCACACCAGGAAACGTGTTGCGGCTGGTCACCAGGGGGCTCCACAACTGCGTGGGTTTCCTGCTGTCCCCTCCACTAACCTCATCCACACCAGCTGGACTCAGTAAACCGGACCCGAACCGTCCGCTGCGCCGCCTGACGTCGGGTCTAATTGTTGGGGGGCTGGTGGGGAGCTTCGGAACCAGTCAGCAGACCCACGGGTGGGATTCGGACACGCACGCTTACTCAGCGCAATCTCTGCCCTCGTGCCCTGTTTACTTGCCCCCACTTTGAAAAAAAAAAAAAAATATATATATATATATAGGCCTATATATGGACGTGCACGTGGGCGCGTGGCCGTGAGGAAGGTGGGACATCGCCGGGACCTTTTTCTGTTTTCCTGATTGTATTGGACCGGAAAAGTGCCGGCAGCAGCGGGGGTTCGGTTCTCCGTTGAAAACCTGAGTTTCTGCGCGGCTGAGGAAACATCACGCTGCTCTTCTTCCTCTTCTTCTTCTGGCTGCTGAGGAAACATGAAGCTGCAGGAAGAGAAGCTCTGAGGATCCGAACAGGTAAAAGAACCGACTGGCTTTAGAAGTTCTGTCATTTCAAGCAGCCGAACCAAGTCAGGGCTGCTGAGTTTGATCTGGATCACATGTTTACGTTCATTGAAGGTAATTACCATTAATTAGAGTTATTGGTCTAGTTAAAGTCAACCCAGAAAGTCGCCATGTTTAATCCTGATGAAGCAATTAATCAATCAGACGTTAGAAATTTCTAGGCTTGGCTCAGGAATGAAATCCAAAACCAAATAATATTATTACTTGGTTTTGGATTTACAAAACCAGGTTGGTTTTGGATAATACAAATATTACAATGTCTTTGGATTGAAATTAGTCAAGATGCAGAAAACAAAATCTTTCCAAGTATTTTTCTGTATTTCTGGTGCAAATAAATAAATAAGACAAATTTTTTGCAAGATAAAACTAAAAGGCAGAAGAGAATAAAGATGTGGGAAATAAATACCAAACCTTGTAATAATCCCAAAATATAAAACTCAGACTCCTTATTGCCATGCCAGCAATACAAACAGGTTAATCATTTTAGTCTTGTTGCTTTAGTTTGATCTGTTAATTTTTCTTCCACTCTGCAAAAATACAACATATTACAGAGTATTTTTGTCTAGTTTCTAGTGGAAATATCTCATTGTACTTCAGAAAACTAACTTATAAGTTAAACAAGATGTAGGAGTTTGTTTTAAGTAAACAATTCCTTAATATTGTAACACAGCAATCTTGTTAAAAGTGAAATAATCGATTAATTTTTGCCATTTGTGGCCTCCTGCTGGTTCTCTCTGGGTACTCCTGCTTCCTGCCACAGTCCACAGACATGAGTGTTAATTTATGACTCTGACTGTGAGTGAATGTGAGAGCGCATACTTGTCTCTGTGTACCGAGCCTCTCAGCCATCACTACGTTTGAGTTTATAAAACAAACTGTCACAGCTAAATTTAACACACATTGAGTTTAATTTTATTTTAAAACATTAATTCTGTATTAATCCATAAATTAATTGAACATACAGTTGACAAATATCTCATAAAACTAAAGAAAATGTAAAGAGTCAGTTTATGGTGTTTGCAGACATCATTAATTACAGATTACTGCATTTATTACTGCGTGGTCATAATATATTGCTGATATGCTGGTATGTTTTTTAGGGCATGTGTAATATTTGTATTCTTCTACTTAGAGTTCATAATAGTTTCACTCACATTCATTACAAAAACTGATTATTATTTCAAACAAAATGTTGAAAGACAAAAAGAAAACAAGCACAGTGAAGCTAAAAATGCAGCTGAAATTTTATTTTTGGAGCTCTTTGATATAAATGTATAAAACAGTTATTCAAAATCAGTTGATTTGTGAAGACCGCTCCAAATGCAGGAAGTGGACAACAACACAGGGAATTCTGGGTAAACACAACCAAAACAAACCTGTTTGTTTGGCTCTGGCAGTAGAAATGACTCGTGGTCTTTTAGCGACAATAAAAGAGAAATTGTCCAAGCGTTAAAAACTGAAGCCAATCCATTTTTGTTTACATTTAGTGAAGAAGGAAGTTGCGCTCACGTCTTTCTCAGAGGTTTTTGTGTCGTTTCCTTCAGTGGTTCTTGGTGCAGCGCCACTACAGGCGAGGAGGGGAAAAGGCTTTCCAATAGTTTCAGTCGCTTGACCCGGTGCAGTAAGAAAGTGAACCGCAGCACCTGAAAATGTAACAAATGTTTCAACTTTGGCCCCCAAACAGTCCAGCAATAATGTGCTGGACTGTCAGGACGGAAACACTCCTAAATACCTGAAATGTTAGAACTTTGTTGACTATTTCTGAATTTTAAAATAATCCTTTGACAAACAGGAAGCCAGTTCAGTGATTTAAAAACTGGTCATTTTTGGCACCATTTGAGCCCCATAGACAGATGTATGAGAGTCTCTAGACCTTGTTGAGATATTAGTAGTTTAATACTGGAAATGTTCTTCAGGTGATAGAAGACCGACTTTGTAATCATCTTTAAGTGTCTCTGAAGGTTCAGGTCCATCACTACGTCCAGATTATGAAGATCTCATCCTCTCAACGTGTTTCTTAATCTCACTCAGTTCAGGTCACAATTAGAGCTTCTGTAAATTAAAAGCAGCTTCTTTCTCTCTTTTTGAAGTTTCTCCTGATGTTGATGCTGCTGTTTCCTTCCTCGTTAATTTGATCTGACGATGAAGATGCATAAAGATGAATCAGAACACCAGGCTCAGCTGTGTCCTGTTTGATCTGCTGCGTCTCTGCTGCTGTTTCGCAAGACTTATATAAGTCTGAAGGCTTGCATGAGAACAATGGCGCACACACACATATCCACTGCAGCACAAACACACACGCGTATTTATTGCTGTGGTGTTCCTTCTGATAAAGAAATGAGATGTGTAACTAGTTATCCTCAGAGTTTCAGTTCCCCCAATGAAGAGGCTCTTTGCGTTGGTTTCTGTGGTTCATCATCACCTATTAAAAATGGTCTGAATCACTTCATGCATCGGCAGCCTCAGTGAGTCACAGATGAAACGGTGAAAGAAACCTTCTGTCAACGTTTTCGTGTAGTATTAATTCCTCAGGTTTACTGGGTTTTATTCTGGCGTCCGTCTGAACGGTTCACCGGTTCACAGAGCGGCGCATCAGGTCTTCACCGTCTCAGTTCGGCGGAAAGCATTTACTCATTACTCGAACGGTAAACAGGCTCGGCCCTTTCTGTTTAACCTGCAATTAGCTCACAACAGCTCAGTTGCACATATTACTTCCATATCTGTGGACCTTCAAGCACACATGGGGCCCACATGGAGCTAATGGGTAACAGTTTATGGATCCCACATGGAAACGCTGGCGGAGGTTTCACATGCTGCAACAGTTCCTCAAGAGGATCCATTAGTTTTGAGATGTTCACTTCCTTCAGAAAAGAGGATGAATCACTCTGGATTTAATTTAACAGCAAAGGGAAAGTTTCCTAATTTGATCTACGGAGAGTTTAGCTGGTTTAGGTTTCTCCTGACAGCCTGTTTAACACGAAAACAAGTTTATTTACTAAAAACACAGTTAGCAGGCCGTCGAAAGTATTCACAGGCCTTCGTTTTATTGGGATTTTGTGTGACAGATCAACACAAACGCTACGCTGAACATGACTTTTTCACAGCAGTCTGAACAATTCTGACGTTTTTGCACCAAAACAGTTCAATCTTTTCCACTTCCACGTTGTACCAAATCAGAAACGAATCCGATTGTTGTCAAAGCGTCTGCAGTCTGAACGGTTGTTGGATTTTATTAGTGCATCACCTATTCAGGAGTTTCTGAATCACTTCCTGACCTGAAACACATTTTTCTACATCATCAATGTGAGACATTCTGAACCAGAAACCCTGACGAATTAAACCAGGATGTAAACAAGAACCTGTTATTCTACAGCTAATGATTATTATTAGTAATTGATTATTCCGATGACTAATCGATTAATCAAATGGAAAAAAAATCTTGTTCTGCTGATTTTTTTACATTAGAAATACATGAAAATAAACAAATAATTCAGCAAAATAAACATTTTATTGCCTAAAACTGGAATAACAGTAGAGTTTAAGTGAACTCTTGATTATTGGTAGCAAATGTTGCACCTGCAGCTTAAAAATACAAAACTCAACTTTTTCTGCTTGACTTAACATCAGTACAGTTTAAGGCTAATCTGCTAATAGTTTTTTGGATTAATTGATGAATAACTGCATACACATTTAATTTAATAAGAGTTTTTATTTTGTTTCCTTACATAATGTGAACCAGATGAAACAAGTATTTACAGCTGAAGTAGATTTTTTCTAGTGTTTAATGTATTTATTGAAAGTTTTTCATTACAAAGACACAAATGTACCAAAATTCCCAATGAGAAAAAGCAAATAGTAATAATAATAATAATAATGAATAAACACAGTCCTCACTGTCATTAAAATAAACCAGAACAATTTAAATTACTACATAATTCCAGTTTAACCTGTATAACTAAAATCCATCTGATCCTCAACCTGCATCGACAGCTTATTTAAAAAAGAGAAAAGATTTCAAAGTCTAGTAAAATTTTCACGTTGAATTTTCTCCTGTTTTAGAAGTTTGTTCAAAATTATCATTTTAAATATAAAATGTTTATAATTTTTAAAACAGTTTTGGTTTAATTTCTACTTTGTTGCATCTGTTTGTTCTATGTCTTTTATTTCAATTAATCAATTTCTTATGATTAATCCAATTAATCATTTCCCACAGTAACTCAAAACAGATTATTTTAAGTTGCTGTAAATTATCTGAACATTGTTGTTGTTTAGCAAAGTGTTTCTTTCCCCTGCAGATTGTCTGTCAGGCGACCAAACTCCTCTTCGTCATGCTGCCTCGGCTCTGCATCCTCCTCCTCTTCCTTCCCCTCAGCCAATCGGACGACTGCGTATTTGGTTCTGGCAATGCGACCGATGGCCGCCAGACGGTCACCATTGCAGCCATCTTGCCAAAGACCAACACAGAGTATCCCTGGTCGTGGCTCCGGGTGGCGCCGGCCCTCTACCGGGCCATCTCGCGGGTGAACTGTGACCCCTGGCTGCTCCCGGGCCTGAAGCTGCATCTGGTCAACGGCAACTCGGAGAACACGGACGGGTACTGCTCCGACTCAATGGCGCCTCTGGTGGCCGTTGACCTGAAATTGGCCCACGATCCTTGGGCTTTCATCGGGCCTGGATGTGAATTCTCTTCCTCGCCGGTCGCTCGCTTCACCACCCACTGGGATGTTCCCATGGTGACCGCCGGCGCCCGCGCCACAGGCTTCAAATTTTACGCGGCGGTCACCAACACGGGCCCGACTCACGCAAAGCTGGGCGAGTTCAGCTTGAAGATCCAGCAGTCGTTTGATTGGTTGCGGCACGTTATGCTGGTCTACACCGACAACAACAAGGACAGCAACTACGACAGGCCGTACTACTTCACCGTGGAGGGCGTGTACGAAATGCTGAGGGTCCAGAACATCACGGCCTACGACTACTCGCTGGAGACCGACATCAACTACAAGCTGGCGGTGCAAAAGATCAGAGACAACGGAAGAGGTCAGCTTCCTTTCCCCTCTTTCCTGCTTTATCTCCAGTGATCAGTCGAAGGCATCTGAACTTTGACCCTACAGCTGCTTTCACTGTTTGCTATAGTCTTCCTCTTCATTTCTCCACTTCATTTATTGATTTGCTGTCTTGGAGATCCACAGTTATACAGTGCCTATAAAACGTAAGACGTTCCAACCTTTTATTGCTTTGACAAGTTAATTTTTACAGTTATTTTGAAGATTAATCGATTAATTGGAAGAAAAAATTCACAGCAATTCTTCTGATTTTTCATTTACCCACTTAAACCTTTACACAAGATTAAAAATATATTAAAGGGACGTTTTATGCAAAACATACAATTTGCACATGTTTGTACTTCCATTTGGGTTTCTGCTGCTCGAAAAAAAGACGAAGCACTTAAAAAAACACAGCTGGGCAGTTGTTTTTGAGTTGAATAATGTTTTTTGGTGTCTGGAAACGAGACATTTCAAAAACCTGTTGAAAGTAACGTTGCAAATCAGAAAGCTCTGCACTTGACCCAATAACCCCAGGAAAGCCCAACCCGTTACCCAGCAACCACAGCGGAACTCTGCCCGTTACCGAGCAACCCGGACAGAATTCCAGCAGGTTTGGTCAGTTGGCGCCGTGAGCTGTACGGCTTTGAGTTTCAGTTCAACCCGCAATAAAAGCTAGTTTTTAAGTTTATTTTCTGTCATTTGTAATTTTCTTAAATGGAATAGCGAGGATAAAAAGTCTAGTTTTTTTTGCAAATAACTCAGTACACTTGAAATAAGACAAAGCTCACAACTAATGTTTGTTTCCCAAGCCTTTTATTATTATTATTATTATTATTATTTTAAATGCGTAGAATTGGTAAAACAGTTTCACTGGCAGATTTTTTCACTTATAACATGAGATTTCTTTCTGTGTTACAATTCAAATAATCTTCCAGTGGAACAAGTACTTTTTAAAATCAATATGAAAGAATTATTGATTTAAAAGAAGGCCCTACAGCCTGTGAAAAAGTAACAAGTGAGTTAGTTTTTTCAAAGGTCCACATTTGACTGAGATGCTGTTTTACATCGTTTGAGTTAAAATCTGGTAAAAATGCGAAGGTTTCTCCAGTCTAATCACACACACAGGGTCAGTTTGAAAAACATTTCTTACTTCATAAATTCCATCAGATATTGAGATAAAATCAAGCCATATCTCCTTCTGGCTTTCCGTAGTTTTTCCCTTCTTCAGTCCTTTCTTTATGACCCGTCATCCGTCGTGTTTGGATGATCAATCAAGGTCCAACACTGCAGCTGCTCTGACTTCCCTGTTTTGATTCCTCTTCACTCCCATGCGCTCTTTCCCGTTTCTTTCCTCATCCTCCCTCGTTTTAGAGCTCTCTCCCTCCCTTGATGTCGTTAAATGAAGGTTAATTATTGCTTGATTTTTCTCCGTACTGGTTAATGACTGACCTCGGTTTTATATCTTTGTCTCCAATTGAGTTTGTGTGCTTTTTTTTTTTTGTTTTGTTTTACATCTTACATTTATTGGCAGTCATTTTGGTTTAGGGCCTCTGGAGTGACGACATTCCTGCGTCGTAAGGACATTCCTGCATCGTCAGGGCAGTCTGGTCCTCTGTGTGGGGCTTCAGTTTAGAAACTGAATCAGTGGAGTGCTTTTTGCCCCCCTCGGTTGGAAAGACTAATGTGAGTGCATTTGTTGTGCACACCTGTAAGCAATCTGTCCCTGTGGTTCTTTTTTGCTTATGTAATGTGGAACATGCCGCCGCCGTCACGGAGTGAAGTAACTGTACAAGTTAAGGTATCACATATAACCGCACGCCTTGAGTATAAATACTGATTCCAACTTGAAACCTGATCATCTGATCGCTGCCAAATCAGAGAGTAGATACGGTTTGTTTCCTTTCTCTTTATCAGGCTTGGACTTTTCAGCATCAAATGGCTTTTCTTTTAAATTCTTTGATAATCGTAGCCGTGGCAGAGAAAACACCCCAAAAACATCTGGGAGATGAGCAAATTGAACTACAGTTCACTGTGGCGGAGCATGGTGGTGGCAGCATCAGGCTGTGGTGGTCCATCTACAAAATATACAAACCAATCCTGGGAAAAAGCAGGATTGGTTGCAGAAAAGTTAAGTTGGACAGAGATCTACCTACAGCGAAAGGATGGAACACATTTATGTGTTAGAGTGGCCTAGTCAAAGCCAGATTTAAAAGAATATACATATATGTGACAAAACCTAACAAAATATTGCCACTTAACAATTATGTGCTGCGATGCTGAAAACAGTAACATTCCCATGGGCTTCCAGCTCTTTTTTCCACAATAAGAAATCAGTTTTACAAATTAAATTTCAACACTTACTTTTGAATAATCATTTGTTTTCATCCTGCAGCTATTCAAATAAACCTAAATACTGAAAGTTCCCTTTTCTGCTTCATCCTAGAAACTTTTATCCCCTATTGAAGGTAAAGAATTATTTCTTTGTATGTTATGTTTTGTAATCAGAGGAAATCCTTTGATTCAAAGTTACATTAAGATACATGCACAATAACACATATTGTTTCTTAATATGTTTGTTGTCTAGTGTCGCTAAAAAGCTTCAAACTCAAAATTAGGAATAGCTCTTTGAATTTTGGTCACATGATGTCTACTTTAAAGTATTATATGTAGAAAAGACTAACACACATAAATATGTGCTTTATTTCAGAATATACTCAGTTTTATCAGAGTTTACCAGAAAAATTTGATGCTGTCAACACATTTCACACTGGCTTGTAGTTCACATTTCGACCACTAGGCGGATACCAAAGGACTTCCTTGGATTTTTGTGCAAAAATCCAACATTTGTAGTTTTCACTGTCCTGTTGGTCGCATTCATGAAGCTAATTAGCACAGCTGGCCTGGCCGGTATTTCTACAACTATGTCTGCTTTGTTACTTAATCAGTCAAGAAATTAAACAATGAGTTTTAAGGAGTGAAATGTGCTACAGATGATTCTTTTCCCAACTTTGTAATCTTTTCCAAATAAAACAGAAATTTCTGAGGTGAACAAGATCACTTGTAGCTGGTCTTGTTTTGTCAGGTTTGGTGTGGAAAGAAGCAGCCCTGCTTTCAAACGTCCTGCTGGTGTTTAGGAAACAATTTGGTCCATTAACTTGTTGTGTTGTGCAGGTGTTGGTGTGAAACAACCTGGCCGTTTTTCCATTAATCCTAATAACTGGTTGTGCCAGATTTGGCAGCGACGTCTGCTGTTATGTGTTGGTGACAACTTTAATGAGTTTTTCGCATCACTGTGGAGGAACTTCAGTCTTTAGTCCCACAGCGTCTCTTTCCACTCGAAAATGTTTGACTTTCCAAGTATTTTCTGAGATTATTCTCAACATTTTGGAGATTTGAATGGAAATTTACTTTTTATTCTTGCTACAATGGCCCTGATACACTGATAAACTGTAAAAACACAAAACCTTACACAGTATTTTTTATCTGGTTCCTAGTGCAACTATCTCATGATACTATTGGATACTTGAAGAAAGTAATTTTTGAGCAATAACTTGTTTTAACTACTTTCCTGGCAGATTATTTTACTTATCAGACATTTTTCTGCCGGTGGAGCTAGAACTGGTTGCCAGGTAACGGGCTGGGCTTGACTGGGGTTGCTAGGTAACCACGTCAGTTGGTTGTGAAATAAGTGACAAAAATCTTCCCATGGATCTTTTAATCAACATTACAGAGTCATTTACACTAAACAAGCTCCTTTATCATCATCTGCTCTTTGACTTTCACAAGGCTTGGTGTGTTGTGACTTAATTTAAAACTTTATTCCCTTCTGCGACACGTTTGTGTGGATTTCATGAATCTACCTGTTCAGGTGTCAGCGACGTCAGTGTTGGTAACCGTCAGGTCTGGGCCCCCAGCAGGTCCGAGGCGTGCCGGGTGCAGTTTGGTGCAGTTTGGTGCAGTTTGGTGTTGGGGATGACATCATCATCACGGGCTCGGTCGGTGACGGCCGCCCTCTCTCTGAGCGACAGCAGCTGGTGCCCCGGGCAGCGCTGCACGTCCTCAAACGATCGGCCCTCAGTGTGTGTCTGCGGCTCGGCAGATATAATTCATGCAAATCTGTTTACACAGTCAGATTATGGGGAAGTGTCTTCAGCTCCACGTGTCGTATATCAAAACGTGTCAAAAGTTAAGACGTTTATGGTGCGGCTGAGGTCGAGGAAAGGGACAGGTGAGCGGTTGCTATGGCAACAGCTGGAGGAAAGTTTTAGGTGTCAGGTGACTTAATGTCCTCTGAAGTCATGGAAACAGAGAACATGTGTGGCAGCAAAAAGTTTCTCGCTCTGCCTTTTTGTCTTTTTGTAAAATGATTTTTAGAGTTTTATTAAAAGCAGTTTTTGACAGACACACATGGTGGGACTTTCTGGGTTTCACATGTGAACGTCGCTGCCCGCAGTCAGTGGGTCCACCTCGGGGGACCCGGCGGAGCGGGCCGCGGGGGGCCATCTTTCTTTCTGCGGAGGACTTTGAGTGACACTGGGGAGGCGGATATTTTCAGTCTGCTCCAGATTTAAACAGAATGTGGTAAAACTGGAGGGAGCGGGAAGGATGTTTTCACTTGTTCTCATGCAACTTTAATATTTTATTATCTGGTGAAAAACAACCTAGTGTATAGTGCTAATGTTTTTAACCATTCCAGATGTGTCTTTCAAAGAGTCAGTCTTTATTCTTGAGGGTTAAAGGAGATCTATTGTGCTACCTGGACAGATTATGGTTGATCTATAAGCAATATAAAACATGTTCATTACATTTTTTTGCACAAAATCTTAGATAATGAGGTTTTAGTTCTGCCTGTTTTGAGCTGTTTTCGGGCGTCCTGTCACTTTAAATCCATATAAGCTGCTGCTGACCACGCCTGCCAACTCAATGTTGACACTCACACGTGAAAATGACTGCCATCAGATGAGAAATTATATAACGTTTTTGAAAAGCAGAAGTAGAGCGTCCTGCACAACCAACAAGGTTGCACCATGTGATTTCTAAATGGTAAGTGAGCAACAAAAGACTTTTCAGCAGCCCTTATGCAGCTCATAAACCAGCTGACCAAACATGCTGCAGCTCCGTTTGGGTTGCTAGGTGACGGGGCTGTGGTTGCTAGGTAACAGCGTGTTGCCCGTGGAAACTGCTCATTTTCCAGACACCAAAAAAACCATTAACTATGGCCAAAAAATGTCTGGTGTTTCTTTGTGAGCGCTTGGGCTGTTTTCAGCAGCAGTAGGAACACAAATGGAAGTACAAAAACATACAAAATCATAATTTTATAGAATAGATCCCATTTAAACAACAGTTTTCTCTTTAAGTGCACAATATACTTTGAAAAAATTAGGAAAGCGGAAACATGGAGGACAAAAGAACAAGGATCTGGTCCAAGGTTTCGGGTTTCACATGTCACATTCCCATGTCTGCATCCTGTTGAACAATCTGAGATTATCTGTGAAAATAATCCCACTAGCTCCTCTCATTTCTGTTGTCTCGAGGGTTGAGTCGACACCTTTGCCGAAGTATTGTTCACAACCATCCCTAACGAGTGTGTCCTGTCTCGCCGCTGAGCTCGTTAGAGGGGGTTCTTTGATTATTACCATGGAAACGGAGAGCTGAGGTCACGAGCCCTGAGCCGTGCCTGGTCCACAATCTGCTGGGTCCAACTGGACCCTGAAGCACTCAGAACGGCACAATGACGTTAGACGAGTGCAATGTGAGAAAACGACCAGACGAGATCAGAGTGGAAGAAAACAGCAGAATCACCGCAAACAGAGAGAGAGAGAGAGAGAGAGAGAGACAGAGAGAGAGAGACAGAGAGAGAGACAGAGAGAGACAGAGAGAGAGAGAGAGAGAGAGAGAGAGAGAGAGAGAGAGAGAGAGAGACAGAGAGAGAGACAGAGAGAGAGAGAGAGAGAGACAGAGAGAGAGAGAGAGAGAGAGAGACAGAGAGACAGAGAGAGAGAGAGAGAGAGAGAGAGAGAGAGAGAGACAGAGAGAGACAGAGAGAGACAGAGAGAGAGAGAGAGAGAGACAGAGAGAGACAGAGAGAGACAGAGAGAGAGACAGAGAGAGACAGAGAGAGAGAGAGAGAGAGAGAGAGAGAGAGAGAGAGAGAGAGAGAGACAGAGAGAGAGAGAGAGAGACAGAGAGAGAGAGAGAGAGAGAGACAGAGAGAGAGAGAGAGAGAGAGAGACAGAGAGACAGAGAGAGAGAGACAGAGAGAGAGAGAGAGAGAGAGACAGAGAGAGAGAGACAGAGAGAGAGAGAGAGAGAGAGACACAGAGAGAGAGAGAGAGAGAGAGAGAGAGAGAGAGAGAGAGAGAGAGACAGAGAGAGAGAGACAGAGAGAGAGAGAGAGAGAGAGAGACAGAGAGAGAGAGAGAGAGAGAGAGAGAGAGACAGAGAGAGAGAGACAGAGAGAGAGAGAGAGAGAGAGACAGAGAGAGAGAGACAGAGAGAGAGAGAGAGAGAGAGACAGAGAGAGAGAGAGAGAGACAGAGAGAGAGAGACAGAGAGAGAGAGAGAGAGAGACAGAGAGAGAGAGACAGAGAGAGAGAGAGAGAGAGAGAGAGTCACATCAAACCTATGAACAGACAGCAAAAGGAGGCGAAGTGGCTGTGACAAATAAACATTAAGGAGCCTCCAAAGAAAAACAAAGACCCAAATCAAAAGACACAAAGTTGAGTAAAAACAGCTTCAAGGATTCAGCAAAAAGAAAATGCAACAAGTTTAAGGTTGATGATGATTAAAAGAAACAAACATGCAAAAACACAAATCTTACCAAGTGTTATTGGTCTGTTTGTCTTAGTTCACTTAAAATAAGACAAAACTAACTTACAGGTAATTTTACCAAAATATAGGAGTTTGCTTTGCATAAATAATTACTTAAAATTGATTATTTTTTTAAGTTCTAGTTGTAAAGATTGATTATTTCACCCATCAGACATTTTTTCCATGTTATGAAGGAAAATAATGTATAAAATCTTGGTAAATTCAGCAAAATGACGAATGTTGAGCGTCTTGTGAATTTATATTTTGCTATTTGTTTCACAAATAAGGAAATAATCTGTTAACTCATCAGCATCAAATTATTATCAATAGCTGAAATGATGGTGACTTTCTTGTCTATATTGGATGATGCTGTGTGGAATATATTATAATTTTTCTCGCTCATTTGAATGTGTAAATATACTTTACTACTGTTCTTCTTTTGTTTGCTTTTGTTTGAAGTTTATTTTCTTTGTTTAACCTTTTATTACATTCAATAAAATCACAATCAACTCAACTCAAATCTCATAATATTATGACTTTATTCTTGTAATGTTGCAACTATTTTAGTAAAATTTCAACTTTATCCTCATATAAGTTTTTATTCTCATATTTTGTCTTTTCTTACCTGATCTTTAAACTGCGTCGTAATAATATGCCAGTGGATCTTGCTCTATTTTGTTAATATTCAAGAGTTAAAGTCAGTTTCCTGTCTCTGGCAGTGGTGTACGTCTGCTGTCCGCGGGACATCTTCCGGAACCTGATGGTCCAGTTCTGGAAGGACCGGGTGGACATGGACGACTTCGTCTTCCTCTTCATCGACCTTTTTGCTGAGGGTCTGAGTGGCGGACGAAACGACGTGCAGAGGCGGGTAGAAAATACTCAAGAGTAAAGAAGTGCCTGATCAAATTATCAATCAGTTAATCTTTAAAAATCAGTTCATCAGACGGACCAAAATATAAAGTTTAGTGAAAATTTTGATATTTTAAGGATGAACAACAATTCCCAGCTCTTTTTTGCGCTAACACATAATTAGGAGTTTATTGCAGATTTTTCTCAAAAATTGCCAAAAACTTTCTAACTTGTCCTAAACATCTGCCTCAGTTTTAACTGTCAGATTATATAATCTGTACGATAAAATTCACATTTACCGTCATAAATAAATGCAAATATTTCCAAATTAGTTCCACAAATCACAAAAACAATCGCAACATTCTGGAGGGACTGAAAAGATGTTCAACATTATTTAACTTTAAGAATTCATCAATATATATCAGTTTGGCAGCTGGCTTTATCAATGCATTCCGGCCCTTTAAGAGCATTTATGACCTTGATTTGGCCCAAAATGAAAATGAGTTTTCTGGAAGAAATATATCACAATAAATTGCAAAAGTAAAAAGTATGATGCAGTAAAAAAGTAATGAGTAAATGTAATTAGTTGCTTCCCATCCCAGGCCCTGGTACCGAGGAGACCAGGACGACCACGCAGCCAAAATGGCCTTCAGGGTGAGAGGTCACGCTGCTCGTTTTTCTGCAGTGGTTCATTCTTACAGGTGAAGATCATGGCTCTCAATTTATTGTTTTTACTGTTGTGTCTGCTGTCAGAGTGTGAAGGTGCTGACCTACATGGAGCCTCAGAACCAAGAATATTTCAAGTTTGTTGAGGATCTGAAAAGAGACGCAAAAGAAAGTTTCAACTTCACCATCGAAGACTCTCTGGTAAATACATCCATCATGGCAGGATGACGTCAGCCAGACATTTCCCGTTAACGTCTGTGTTTCCCTGTCAGTTCAACCTGATAGCGGCAGATTTCTACGACGGCGTGATGCTGTACGCTCAGGCTCTGAACGAGACTCTGAGCCAGCAGGCGTCGGGACCGGGACCCGTCCAGAGACCCAAAGGAGATCTGGTGACACGCAGGATGTGGAACAGGAGCTTCTCAGGTGATTCTTCTGCTGTTCTGGACAGGCCTGGCGCTCAGATAGGAATGGGCTGTCGGTGGTGAACCAATCAGAGCGCAGCGCTGGACGAGAACCGTCTGCTTTGAAAATGTGTGTTATTAATCAGAAAACCACAGCGCAGAAATATCCATCTCATTTTCTGCTCTGTGTTAAACTGCAGCTGCACTTTACCAGCAAAACACTCAGTAACAGCAAAAACACATGTTTAATTAACCGTTTGTTCTGCAAACATAAAATACTTCAGTCAAGATAAAATATGAATTTTAACACCTTCACAGAGCTTTCATGTAGGGTTGAGCAAACAAAGCAGAGATGAGGAAGACTGAGGGCATTAATGCATGTCAGTCGGTATCTACAGCTTCCATTTAAGTTGACTCTGAACTTTGATTGCTAAGTCAGTAGAATCTGCAGAAAACGCAAATCCTAAATAAAGGACAAAGATTTATTGTTATGTCCGAGACTTTTTAGTCTTGTTGCTTTAGTTTGTTCCGGTATTATTTCTTCTACTCTTCAAAAACACTAAAGTATTTTCATTCTAGTTTATGTTGCAGTTATCTTAGTGCCCATAAAATAAGACAAAACTGACTTACAAGTAACTTTTCAGTACGATATTGCAATTATTATTTAAGACAGTAATTCCTTAATATTGATGAAAAGTTTCTGGTTACACTGGCAGTCATGAGTTAACACTCTATGAAGTCATGACAAAATTGCCAATTAATTAGTATTTTTATGATTCCTGTTCCTTTCCGGTGTCAATCAGAGCCTCAGGATGCATTGAGCCTGAATTTGGCTCAATGCATCCTGAGAGAAACCAGCGTTTCTCTGCCACCAATCAATCATGCAGTCGATTAACCAACGAGCCTCAGGACCTATCAGGAGCCCCGTAGCGCCACGGAGGTCATCATGGGAATCTGAGCCTGACGGACGCTCACATTCTCACGGCTGTCATGTGTGTCAGTGGGGAGTTGGCGTGTTAGCGCAGAGCTGCGGCGCAAATTTGTACCAGCTGGCAGCGTCACTGGGAACAGGAAGTTTTAGGCCCAAACCAACAACCAGAGCAGGAAAGTCACGCCGCAAGAATTTAAAGGGAAAGTTTCACTTTTCTGTATTCTGCCTGGTCAGTAATTCAACATTTATTTAGCATGAAGCACGCAGAGATTTGTGAGAGTTGTTTTGTGGGTCATTTAGGAGAACCTGCAATGTCAGGCAGACCCAGGTTCTGGAGTTCAGAGTCGGTCCGCGGTATATTGTCAAGGCCTTACATTGTTAGCACACACAGGAAGTCGCCAGTCATTTTTCAGAGTCCCTAACAGCTTCAGGAAACAGTTTGCAAGTGTAAAAACAAAGAGAAAAATTTTCGCCTAATTTTACTGCTGACAGTGTTGACACAGGAAAAAGGAGGATGTGTGTGTGTGTGTGTGTGTGTGTGTGTGTGTGTGTGTGCGTGTGTGTGTGAGTGTGTGTGTGTGTTGTTGACACTTTACGTTACACTGTATATAATTACTAAAGCTGTACGCTGACTGCTGCTGGAGGAAAATTTCCTTTCATGAATCAGGTTTATGTTTCATTTCAAGTCAAGTTTTAGAAACATTTAAATAATGATCGGTATCAGCAAAAACTTGTGACAAAATCCAGATAATAAATTGTCAAGTAGGTCACTGATTTGGTTGTAAAGTCAGTTCAAGCTTTAATAAAACATGCTACCGCTAACATTAGCATACGCATTAATGTTTGAGGTAATTGTCTCAACTCTCATTCCTAATATTTATTTTGTAGCAACTTTACACTGATTTATTACATTTCAACATTTGACACAAGCAAGTTTTAAAAGGGTCTTTTAATAAGAAATTTGCATTTCACATGTTTTTGTCTAAAAACAAGCCAGTAGCTTAAAAAACAGACGTTAACTGGCAATAAGTTGAGGACTTCTATGGCATTTTTTTGGCCCTTGACAAAAAGTCAAGAGTGGTAAAAATTTGCCCTGCAAACTAGAAAACAATTGATGACCCAAAAAATGTGGAAATTGTCTGTTTTTATTTTAATATGGCAACAGACCAAGGACCTTCTTATGTTTTTGATTTTTCATGTAATAATAATGTAGTTTGTTGAGAAGACAAAACTAAAGAAATACATCACAACCAGATAATCTTTGCATTTTTAATTTGATGGGTTTTGTGGTCCACCAGTTGTTCAAATTGTCCAGTTTTGGCTCCCAGAAAAAGTTTGGACATCACTGCTTTAGATGGTTGAGTGATTTCTGGGGACGACTGGTTCCAGTAGTTTTTATTAGAGGGTGTCAGAATAAAGTGGGTTAAAGACAAATATACATTATCTTCATATTAAAAGATAAAAGCACAGAAATGTTCATTTCAGGATGCTTTGTTCTTGCGAAATACCAAGAGTCATTTTAAAATGAACCCCCCAAAGAAAATGCATTTCCTAATTTCATAAAATCTATTATTATGGATGCAGAGTTTTTCTAACAATAGAGCCCCAAATTCCTGCACTGACACCACACCCAGCTGGTTTTTCCAGGAAGGAGTGAGATAACTGTTTGTCAGTTTTGCTTTAAACTTATTTGTTTGATCCAGATTAATTCAAAAATAACCCAGACGACAATTCTGGGATTAAATATTATCAGGAATGTTTCCCCTGATCTCCTCCCCTTTGTTTGCGTTTGTCTCTTCTGTTGAGATTTTATCAAACTGTTTTTTTTTTTCTTCCTGAAAACCTAAAAAGCAGCAGATAGTATTTGTTGAATTTGGACCTTGGAACTGAAATAACTTCTTCTTGCTTCACCACAAAACTAAACAGAGAAAGAAAAACTGCTGAAAAAATAGCAGACAGACTGCAATCTATCATCGCAGCAGCTCAAACCGACCTGAAGTTTATGGTCCATAAAACACGCCTCGGTCGGTCAGATACGATGTTGATCCAAGCTTTCGAGACTAGCTCTTCTGTTGTTTTAGTTTGTGAACTATTTAAAAGATAAACAGATAAGAGCTTTCATCATTCTTGACTCAAACAGCGGAAAAGCACTGAGACGTCTCACTGGGTTTCTGCAAACTCAGAGACAGTGAGATGGACCAGATTAACAATCTGAGACAAACCAGAGAAAGGAAATCTAAAAAAGAAAAAAAAAATGAAATGAGGCAAAATTACGGAGGGCTGAAATTGACAAAATTAAAGAAAAACATAATTACACAATTTTAGTAATTTATTTTATAGGCAATTTATTGAGTATGTCATTAAATGATTAAAATGCAAACATATAACAGACAATGCACCATAAAATAATTTTATGTGTCAGACTTACCCAATGCAGTCAAGGGGCGGGGTTATGTGTGAGTGGGCGGAGCCATGCAGGGAAAGGGCGGGGCTAACACAGATCTATCAGCATTGGCCTCATTTTGTGAGGCTAAACTCATAAACTATCTAAACTAATCCTCCATAAGTGTAATGGAGGATTTTCATTGTGGTCTGGATGATAATCTCTTGGCTAATTTTAAAATTGAGGGAGTGTAGTTCAACGGATCAGTGTTAGCCCCGCCCACCCACTCATAAAACAATTTTATGGTGACGCTGCAGGAACAGGAAGCATTAACTAAGTAATGATCTGCATTGGCTTTTACAAATTAGCATTTTAAAGACTTTATGACATGTTTGTTAAATAAAAATAATAAATTTAATATTTATCAACATATTTTATATGTTTGATTTTGGTGATGTCACTCATCAAAATGTAAAGTTTGTTAAATTTTTGACTGTTTTGGGTTTTCTTTATAACGTTGTAATTTTGTGTCTTTAATATGTAAAGCACTTGAACAACCTTGATTGGTTGATTGGATTATACCTAAACACTAAATTAAACATTTATTTATTTTATGAGATGTTTAATTAATGTTATTTATTTAATTTAGTCCCTTTTGACCCTCCATACAAAGTAGACATGTTCTGAAGATTCAGATGTTTTTGCTGTTTGTCTATTTTCTTTATTCCTTTTTATTTTGAAACTCATTTGACAGAACATGCTAGACAAATGTGAGGTAAATTACCAAGAGCCATTTATATAGAATGTTCAGCCCAATACAGTTTAATCATATTTTCACTTTTAGTTAAAATAAAGTGCAATTGGTACCAGTACAAGTTATTCAAGAAGCCCAGCCGATTGCATCCAATCATTGAGGAAAAATAGTTTAGTATATGAAAGTAGAAAGAGACAGAACAGATCCAGATACAGAGGGAGAAACAGTCACTTTGAAATTGTTAATATTTCAAGCAGAATAAAATACTTCAAGAATAAAAGACGAGGCACAAAGAGACAAACAGCATAAAATAAGAAACACAAAGCGATGCAGGTGCGGAGGGGTCCAGGTGTGTGAGAAACATCCCCAGAAAGTGACGATGCATCATGGGAAGAACCAGACAGGCAGACGGTCTCAGCTGGACAGAAGCGCTAATCTGATCACTGCATCATTATTTATGCCTGTGATCATGAATCTGTTTATGCAGCCGTCCTGCATGAAGACGAGAAATAATCTGCCTGGTTTTGTGCTTTACGCTTCAGGAAGTGACTGAATGAGCCATCTTTGAAACCAGCAGACCAACCTTTCTAGATGCACTACAGACCAACAGTTACAAAGGTCAAACTCCAGCCAGCCTTGTGGAAAACACTTGACTGATACAAAAATCATGTGATTGACGGGGAATTTGCTAACAGGACTTTCATAGAGCTGTATGTACATATTTGACCCAGTCGGAAAAATTCTCACTCTGTGTGGATTTGAATAACATATTCATATAAAAATTCACGGTTTCCATGAATATGATGAGTACATTTAAACAGGGTCTGTGGTGTAAAATTCACACTTTGCATTTGGGTCTCAGCTCCTCCTTGAAACAGACGAACAGTTTAAAAACCCACCCAGCTGGTTTCTGTCAATAAGTTCATGTTTTTGGTGACCAACTTCAAAAGCTTCTGCAATAAAACGTCACAAATCGGCAGACGCTGCCAGTCACCTAGCAACCCCAGCAGAACTCTGCCGGTCACCTAGCAACCCCAGCAGAACTCTGCCGGTCACCTAGCAACCCCAGTCCATCGCCTAGCAACCCACGCTGAGTTCTACCACATTTTGTCTGCTGGTTTTGCTGCTTTATAGACATGTTGCATGTCGTTGTTTACGTCCAAAGGCGATTCTTTTAGATGCCATCCATCGCTGCGCTGCTGCAGAACAACTCAAAGCCTCTCGTTTTCTTCTTTTGCCTCGCTCTTAGTGTCGGCTGTGCTGCACACAGACCCGTTGCCGCAGCATCTGACTGACAACAGCTCCACTAATGTATCGGGAATCAACACAACAAAACCCCGCAAACATTTCCCACACAAAGAGCAGAATATTCAGTCTGTTAAAGTATTTTCTTTCCAGGCTTGGTGTTTATTTTGCTGTTGTTAACAAGTGAGCATCTGGACACGGCGGCGGCTGATTAGCTCATTTAAACACAGCTCTACTGTCAGACTTGGTGTATGAATCGCCTTTTTTCTTTAGCTGAACATGAACACAGAATCCTGCAACACATCTACATGTGAATGTTGTCAAAGTCAAGCTAGCATCACTGTCCCCCTCCCTATTTGTTTTTTATTAAAACCGTTTCCTGGCCTGTGAAGTGTGATACCCTCGTACCTTGTTATCTCATTGTCCCAATGTTGACAATTAATAGCAAAGCACTGCATCCTTTTTCTTTTAAAGCCTGATATATGCACAAAATCGTTAAGTCAGCATAAATATTTAGTGTGTAATGATGACAACTGGACAGGTAAAACCCTCATCGTCTGTGAGCGGTTTTCACCCTCCATATGGGAGATGTCACATTGCAACATGTCTATATCAATAAGCAGACCTGAGCAGACTAAAATCTCATTATCCGAGAATAATTTTGTGGAAAAAAGTGTAATGACCTATTCTAACCTGTTCAAGGAAGTATAATAGGTCACCTTTGACCTGTAGATGCTTATATTTACAGCTTTAACATAAGGAAACTGATACTAGTATTTACCCTAACTGCATCAGAAGATCATTTAATTTCCCCCCTATATAGTAGCTAAATTTATACCTTCTCTGTAATATAATCAAAACCAGGATCACACTGAGAACTCAGACACTCGGGTCCATGAAAACACACCCTTGTCATTTCAGTGTGACTTTCAGCGTGTTGATGGCGCAGATAAACAGGCCGCTCTGCTTGCTCTTTATTAGATTGAACTGCTTTTATCCACCAACACACACTGAAACTAAGTCAGCGCCCATCAATCACCGGCGATGTGCGTCAGAGGTGGAGAGAGCGATGCTGGTTGAATTCAGGTCGAACTGGACAGGAGCAGCAAGGCGACTGGAGTAGCTGGCAGTGTTGGCCAGTAGAGGGAGCTCTAGACAGCAATAACTGATTACTGTCAGACGTGTAGAACAAAAAAATCCCTGAAATAGAACCTGTCTGACAACATGAAGCAGGCGAAAAGTGTTGAAAAAGAAACGTGTCATGCTCTCGTCTAAAGAAATTCAAGATTAAATGAGAAAGAAACATTTCAGACTCATTACACTAATCAACTAATTTAGTTACCTACGTATTGTTAATATTTAAGATAAAACTACTACTCATCTGTAAATTTATTCTACTCAGATCATAAGTTTTATCTTCACCCGGTTCAAATTCTGTAATGAAAATTACTGGTGAGCAACTTTTTAATCCAGTTATTGATCAGCAGATCAGCTGCATTGATATTAAGTCAAGCAGAAAGTTCTAATAGTTTTTACAAAGTATTTTATACATTGGGTCAGGTTGATATAGACAGGATTTGATTTCTTTTCATAGAAGAAGCTTTTTGTATTTTCTCAGGATATCTTAGTCTTATATTAACATTTGTTTGATTTGAAATATTTGTGTGACAAAAATATATAAGGAGGCAAATACTTTTTCACAACTAAGGCTGATGGTGTAAGCTTTACAACATGAAAGCCTGTCTCAATACGCAATAAATCAATTAATCGCATAATAAATTAAAATGAATGTGATCACTTCCTTTTATTTTCTTTAATATTGCTGAAAAGCCTCCATTTTAAAAAATGCTGCAAACATTTGACACCCAGTATATAGTAGCTAGTTTTCACTACCTCCCACTTTTGGCTCTTTTTCCTGTCTAAGCTGAATGATGATTATTTTTTTATTTTATTGTTATTTTGTTTGTTTATTTTGGATATTTAAAATGTTTTCTAGCTACAGTTTTAAATGTTCCTTAGAAGTTTTGGTATATATTTTTTAAATATACACCAATTAGTGTATGTAGAACAAACATAACATATTTATAAAAAGCATAAAGGAAATGAAATAACCAAACAAAAACAAACAGGAGTTATATATTAAAATGGATACATTCAAAACACAGAACATAATCAATTGGTGTCACAACAAAAACAATACAATTGTTTAATAGAATAAACTTTATTGATCCCCAAAGGGAAATTTCTTATTTGTTTGCAAGCTCCTCCTCAAGGTATTAAATATTAATAATACACAAATAACCATAAGAGATAAAGTTTACAGTGTATATATGGGTGCATATATACCAAAGAGTGATGTAGTAATTTAATATGTAAATAAATAAAAAATAAATAACAAGCATGCACATGCAAACATGTTAACCTAAAACTAATCTATAAATACAATAAATGACAGAAACATAGGAGGATTAGTATATAGTTTTTCATTTTTGAGCGCTTGCATTAATAATATACTATATTATTATCATCATATTAGTTGAAAATGATCTCAAAATAACAATATTATCATTTATCACAATCATTTCTCGTGACTGGAGCAGCAACAACACTTAATGTTACCAGTCAGCTTTACGTTTGAATTCCCAGTTTGCGCCACTGCTTTCCAGAAAAGGCAAACGATCCGGTGTTCAGCTTTACTGGTCTGGATGGTGTAAAAAATGCAAAGTTCTCACACCAAAACACTCACATCAGGTTTCAGGCCAGGTGTGGATTTCCTCTCAGTTTGCAGCTGAACGCAATCAGAAAACATGAGCAGAATAAGTGGAACATCTGGAATCCAATTCATTTAAATACCAGCCTGTTTTTTTAAGATGCTGAGCTCCAAGTCTGGACTTTTTCACTCGTTCTTTGTGGATGCTGTGACTCTTTCCACCCTCTGAAAGCTGAGTCTCCTCCTCCTCATAATTCTTTCAGTCACATTCTTGGCTTTTGTCAACTTGTTGGACTTTAATCAACGAAAGCAACAACTGTTTTCAATCACTGTCTGCGTTGTTTTTTTTTATTTTTATTTAAAACAACACAAATAACTGTTATCAATTATAAAATATATTCAGGAGAAAAAGCAAACAAGCAAGGCACACGAGGAAGAGGATGTTTTATGAAATGAACTCAGATAGCGTGTGATGTCTCCACAGGCGTGTCGGGAGAGGTGAAGATGGACGAGGTTGGAGACAGAGAGACGGACTTTGCCGTGTGGGACATGACAGATCCAGAGTCTGGAGAGTTTCAGGTAAAAATTCAGATTAAAGACGAGGCCTTCACTGTGATTTATTTAAAAAGGCAGCAGGATTATTTCAAACTAGTTCTGGGTCTGTTAGGACAACAATCAGATATTACTGTACTCAGGTACAGTAATAACAACAGTTTTTGAACTTCACGCTCTAGCAGTGTATGAAGACTGGCCTTTTCAATCAGATTACCTAAGAAACAAGTTGCTTATTAACTTAAAGGTGCATTTTAACCCTAAGTCAGATAAACTATGGATCACTTTAGAAAACAGACTGAAGATTGGTAAAGTTTCAGTAGGAGTGACATTAAAGGTTGAACAGATGTACGGGTTATACTACACTTAATACTTAAATCATGATATTTTAATCTTCTCTGTTCTTCCTACTTTGATCTCCTTTCAGATTGAGACGTTTTAGAGCGTCTTGTCACTTTAAATCTAAAAAACTCAGTGTTTACACTCACACATGAAAATGGCTGCAAACAAACTCTCATCTTTCCCATCAGCCATTGGTAAAACCAGCTGACCAAAGGGGGGGCTTGCTAGGTAACAGGTCACTGAGGAAGGAAACTTAAAAACGTGGAGGTTTTGAAACGACTCATTTTCCAGACACTAAAAAATATGAACTTGCCTGGGTCGTTTCTTTTTTAGCAGTCGGGTTGTTTATAGAGGGAACTGAGACCCTAAAAGAATAAATCACTAACTTTACATATTTTTTTTCCTTTCAACAAGTTTCACATAGTTGTAATTTGTTAGCTGAAAGCAAAAAAGGTGTGATAATCTGTTATATTTACAAGAACAAACCAATTTAACCCAACAAACATTTTGTTAATGGGTTAACTGGAAATAAAATGTTAACTCCGCTGTTCAAAAGCGTTCAAAATGTGAAATTTGCATAAGAGTTTAATCTCGTTTAGATAGAAACAGTAATATTTTGTTTTTACAGTTTATCTGCACCAACACCCAGATATATGTTGGTTTGACGTTATTTAACTGAGGCCTGTAAAGTTGGGGACCATTGTTAATGGTCTTCCAGAGTGTATCGGACCAACAGACTACTACATTTACTTTGTTTTTCTCCTCTATCAACACTGAGGTCTCTCTGCGTTCAGATACAATCATCTTAATTGCTTTAGGTAGAAACAGGGCAATGAGGGTCGATGCGATCTGCCAAATATGGTCGTGGTATGAGATTTAAAACCAGACACTTTTTGTAGCCAAAGCAGTCATTTGCAATGCTGATATTGAGCACACTGACACAATGATGATAAAAACATTTTTTGCACTAAGGCTATTATTCCTTACAGAATGATTCATCACCCTGATGCACTGTTTTCATACTGCTGACATCTTTCCACCCTGCCATTGTGTTAATGATGCAAAATTAATGCCTGAATGCTCCAGAAGAGCGAATCACGGTTAATAATGATAATTTAATCATTGCTGTTGCGTGTTTTCAGGTAGTGTCTGTGTATAATGGCAGCAGCAAGTCTCTGGACGTGAAGGATATTCAGTGGCCTGGAGGGAAGATACCCGTAGACATGCCAGAGTGCGGCTTCAGGAACGACCACCCGACCTGCCTCGCACGTACGAACGCAGTCCACAGCACACACACGTGGAAATCTGACACAAATATTTACTTTAACCACGTTTCACTGGGTTTTATTGAGTTTTTCTGTGGTGGACCAACATAGAAGTGAAGCATAGCTAAGAAGTGAAAGGAAATGTTTGTTTTACAAATAAAAATCTGAAAAGAGCGCCATAAGTTTTGTAGAAGCACCAACATATCAAAGTGTTTCGGTTCACTGCAAAAACACAAAGTCTAACCAAGAACTTTTGGTCTAGATATACTGTAAGTATCTTAGTACAATTGAAATAAGACGGAACTAACATAAGTAACCATTAAGCAAGATATTTTAAGTCAATAAGAATAATCTGTCAATCGAACTATGACTTTTTTTTAATCAATATTAAGGAGTTACTTACTTTCTTAAACTAACTCCTTTCTTAAACAAACTCTTATTGAAAAGTTACTTTTAAGTTAGTTTTGTTTTATTTCAAGTGTAAGATATTTCACTAGAAACTATCAAAAATACGTGGTAAGATTTCATGTCTTTGCAGTGTTGTCTCTCTAACAGCTTCGCAGATTTACTCAGTTTGTTTGCAAAAGAGTCGAATCTCTTAATCACAAATAATTGATTAATTGTGATTAATCAATTATTGAAATAATTGATGTATAGTAATTGACTAATTGTTAACAGGAGTATATGGACTCAAAAAAAATGATGCTACAACATTCTCAGAGCAGCAATTAACCCAAACCTGTCAACAGATTCTCCCATCAGCTTCTCTCAAATAAAATCCCAGAAAGATCCATTAAAGTTTCTGGTCTTAATGAAGCAAAATGCTTTAAAAAAAGTTGTAGATATATTTCCAGGTACTTAATGACTGCAGCTGCATTTAAAGACATGTCTGCAGATCAAAATGGTGTCTGCTTGTTGTACTCGAAAGCGTCGTGTGGCTGTGGAACCGCAGTCAGATTCCCATTTTCTTCAAACAGCGTCTTCTTCCCGTGCTGATGCTGCTCTTCCCTCTCACCCACACAGGTACTGTTACAATGCATCAGATGGTTGCCATAGTGATCTGCTTCGTCTTCATCATCATCGTCACCATCACCGTCTTCATCTACAGGTGAGACTCACGGGCTCAACGGATCCCGGCGTCAGTTTGTGTTTTCCTTTAGGAAATGTTGGTGATGTGGGTCAATAAGATACGGCAGCTGGATAGGAATCATTTTAACAACTTTAACGGTTTATTTTTGTAATTTTGACTGAGCTGGGAACCAGTAACTTCACCATCAACTTTCTGGATTAGACTGAGAATCAGAAAGTTGAACGGGAAGCATTATATATTTATATAAAGTTATACAATGTTAAATTCAGTTATAAAGATGTCATCTGTCAAATGTGATTTGACTTTTTAATTTGATGTCTTGAAATTGGGCTTCTGTCTCTTTAAGAAGCTCCTGCTCTTTCCAACACTGCGAAAGTCGTCACATCAAAGTTTCACCACTAAGTCTTTAATATTGTTCAGGATAACTTTAACAGAAAGGTGAGAATAAAGGATTTATTTATCAAACATTTATAGGAAAGACTCAAAACACTCCAGGTTTTGATGAGAAAATAACATTTTAACACCACAGAATAAAAGTAGGTTTTACAAAATAATGCCCCTTTAAACTGTTAGATATGTCAGCTACTCTGCTGAATGATTGTTTTCTGTAATTAATTGTACAGGTAACATATTTTTAAAATATGTATTTTTGTTAATGCTAGCGTTTTGCTTCACTGAAAGTGAGAAATGCCTTCCAGAAGTAGCAGCAAACGTTGACAGATGGAGGAGCAAGCTGTCAGTGAAATCCTGAGATTGGCAGCAGAACCAAACAATCCCGTCTTCATTTTGTTAATCAGGCACAGAGAAATCTTTGTGGCGAATGCTCCAGAATGGATCCAGTGAAACGTGAAGTTAAGGTGCAAACAGCTGCTCAAATGAGGCATTTTAAAGCTTAACGATGAAAACAGAAACTTACAGGACTGAGCTCGGAAAGAATGACACCCAGTGGACTGGAGCTCGGATGAGGCAGAGAAACAGAAGAGTCCAAGCTCTGAACTATGAACAATGAGGAGCTTCAATAATCGGGGCGGGTTGTTAGGCGACAAAGGAACCAGGAGCACGAATCACAGGAAACGCGGCGCAGCTGCGGCGAGAAGAATAGTGGTGACACTGAGGGAGGAAGACTCACGAACGCAGAGGAACTGATGCTCAACAAGCCAATAAGAGAGACAAAAACTGACTATAAGAGAGACAAAAACTGACTATAAGAGAGACAAAAACTGACTATAAGAGAGACAAAAACTGACTATAAGAGAGACAAAACCTGACTATAAGAGAGACAAAACCTGACTATAAGAGAGACAAAACCTGACTATAAGAGAGACAAAACCTGACTATAAGAGAGACAAAACCTGACTATAAGAGAGACAAAACCTGACTATAAGAGAGACAAAACCTGACTATAGAGAGACAAAACCTGACTATAAGAGAGACAAAAACTGACTATAAGAGAGACAAAACCTGACTATAAGAGAGACAAAACCTGACTATAAGAGAGACAAAAACTGACTATAAGAGAGACAAAACCTGACTATAAGAGAGACAAAACCTGACTATAAGAGAGACAAAACCTGACTATAAGAGAGACAAAACCTGACTATAAGAGAGACAAAACCTGACTATAAGAGAGACAAAACCTGACTATAAGAGAGACAAAACTGACTATAAGAGAGACAAAACCTGACTATAAGAGAGACAAAAACTGACTATAAGAGAGACAAAACCTGACTATAAGAGAGACAAAAACTGACTATAAGAGAGACAAAACCTGACTATAAGAGAGACAAAACCTGACTATAAGAGAGACAAAACCTGACTATAAGAGAGACAAAACCTGACTATAAGAGAGACAAAACCTGACTATAAGAGAGACAAAAACTGACTATAAGAGAGACAAAACCTGACTATAAGAGAGACAAAACCTGACTATAAGAGAGACAAAACCTGACTATAAGAGAGACAAAACCTGACTATAAGAGAGACAAAACCTGACTATAAGAGAGACAAAACCTGACTATAAGAGAGACAAAACCTGACTATAAGAGAGACAAAACCTGACTATAAGAGAGACAAAACCTGACTATAAGAGAGACAAAAACTGACTATAAGAGAGACAAAACCTGACTATAAGAGAGACAAAACCTGACTATAAGAGAGACAAAACCTGACTATAAGAGAGACAAAACCTGACTATAAGAGAGACAAAAACTGACTATAAGAGAGACAAAAACTGACTATAAGAGAGACAAAAAACTGACTATAAGAGAGACAAAAACTGACTATAAGAGAGACAAAACTGACTATAAGAGAGACAAAACCTGACTATAAGAGAGACAAAAACTGACTATAAGAGAGACAAAAACTGACTATAAGAGAGACAAAACCTGACTATAAGAGAGACAAAACCTGACTATAAGAGAGACAAAAACTGACTATAAGAGAGACAAAAACTGACTATAAGAGAGACAAAAACTGACTATAAGAGAGACAAAACCTGACTATAAGAGAGACAAAACTGACTATAAGAGAGACAAAACCTGACTATAAGAGAGACAAAAACTGACTATAAGAGAGACAAAACCTGACTATAAGAGAGACAAAAACTGACTATAAGAGAGACAAAACCTGACTATAAGAGAGACAAAACCTGACTATAAGAGAGACAAAACCTGACTATAAGAGAGACAAAACCTGACTATAAGAGAGACAAAACCTGACTATAAGAGAGACAAAAACTGACTATAAGAGAGACAAAACCTGACTATAAGAGAGACAAACCTGACTATAAGAGAGACAAAACCTGACTATAAGAGAGACAAAACCTGACTATAAGAGAGACAAAAACTGACTATAAGAGAGACAAAAACTGACTATAAGAGAGACAAAAACTGACTATAAGAGAGACAAAAACTGACTATAAGAGAGACAAAACCTGACTATAAGAGAGACAAAACCTGACTATAAGAGAGACAAAAACTGACTATAAGAGAGACAAAACCTGACTATAAGAGAGACAAAACCTGACTATAAGAGAGACAAAAACTGACTATAAGAGAGACAAAAACTGACTATAAGAGAGACAAAAACTGACTATAAGAGAGACAAAACCTGACTATAAGAGAGACAAAAACTGACTATAAGAGAGACAAAACCTGACTATAAGAGAGACAAAAACTGACTATAAGAGAGACAAAACCTGACTATAAGAGAGACAAAAACTGACTATAAGAGAGACAAAACCTGACTATAAGAGAGACAAAACCTGACTATAAGAGAGACAAAACCTGACTATAAGAGAGACAAAACCTGACTATAAGAGAGACAAAACCTGACTATAAGAGAGACAAAACCTGACTATAAGAGAGACAAAACCTGACTATAAGAGAGACAAAACCTGACTATAAGAGAGACAAAACCTGACTATAAGAGAGACAAAACCTGACTATAAGAGAGACAAAACCTGACTATAAGAGAGACAAAACCTGACTATAAGAGAGACAAAACCTGACTATAAGAGAGACAAAACCTGACTATAAGAGAGACAAAACTGACTATAAGAGAGACAAAACCTGACTATAAGAGAGACAAAACCTGACTATAAGAGAGACAAAACCTGACTACAACGTAAGAAAAACTGATTCAGATGTGTTGCTAAGTAACAGGGCTGGGCGTGTCTGTGGTTGCTAGGTAACGTCCTGGAGGTTTTCAAAACGACTTGTTTTCCATGCATCAAAAAACATTCACTTATTGCCAAAAACATGTCTGCATTTAATTTTTTTAAGCAAATGGAAACATGAGAACAAGCAAAACCTGATTTAAATTACTACCTTTACTTTGGAAATTTATGTTTTTTTTTGGTTTTTTTTGCCTGTCATACGACTAAAAATTAATGGATCAAAATCTGAATTTACTCGTCAGAACTGAAAGAAAACAAGAAATCAACATTTCCCAAGAAACTCCTGATCAGTTGGTCTTTAAACACTAAAAATAATTTTACTAAAGAAGTATAAGATAGTTTTATAGTCTTTCAAGATGTAAAAAGAGACACAAAGAAAACTGTTTTCTCACTCAAAGTTTTTTTTGTTGGTGTTCTTGAGATGTTTCTGCTTCTTCTACTGAAGAAGAGAAAGCTGCCTATACTGCCACCATCTGGTGGATCTCTGTGTTGCTTTGGTTTGATGGGTTAAAAAGTGTCTGATTTACAGTTTTTTACTTCAGTTTTTGGTTTAAGTGTTGAAGGTTTGCTGTGACTGTGACTGGAAACCCAACTACAAACACTTTTGCACATTGTCACTGAGAGCCCTATGATGGTGACCTTTACTAAAGGTCTCCGTTCACAAAACTCAGAAACTCACTTTGGTTCTCACAAAGATACAGAGAAAAACAAACAAACACATTTTTGTGGCAGTTCAATCTCTCACAGCACCTCTCTCTCTTTTTCTCTCTCTCTCCATTTTATTTTGTGTTTCTCTCTCCTGTCCTCTTTCATTTCCTTTCTTTTTCACACATCCTCTTTCCTCTTTTTCCTCCTCTGTCGTTTTTCTCTGTCCTTCTGTCTGTCATTAATAGAGAGGTCACAGCGAGGCCCATAGTCAGAGGGTGGAGAATAAACATTTAAAAAACAGGACTTAAAAGCATCAGAGCATTTGCCTTTTTAACACTAAAAATGTTCTGACCTTTTTAAAAATGTCGGCAATTACAAGTGCTAGAAACTGAACTCATCTGCATGATTATATGTTTATGAAATACTAAATCCACTTTTCTTAATAGCTTGAGACACGATTTACTTGGAAATTAAGCTATATAAAGAAACATTATTGTTGTAACTATATTATCTTGACACCGATGTGTTTTTGTGGTAGATAATTAATAATTTTGTCAACATTTATGCATCAATTTGCAGTAATAAAATAATGTAATATTGGACAGAAGTGGTTTGAGAGATTTTATGGGCAAAACTTTTCCGAAAATATTTTTTACTTGTGAATATAGCTTTGTAAAATTATGGAATAAAATTTGGGAGATTGAGGGAAAAAAAACTAGATTTATTACTGTGCAGTTTGTGTCCATCTGAGATTTACAAAGCAGAAGTTGATGCGTATCATTTAGTTCACCTTGGCAAAGTCATGAAGCCTCAAACTGATTGGATAGCAACCTGGAAGCTCGACCAATCAGAAGAGAGACTGTTAGCTGCATTTAGCATCTGTAAGAAGAGTTTATTTATGCAGAATGCAACTAAAAAACCTTCACAGAAACCTTAGTTAAGCAAACCAGCATTAAAACAATGAGTAAATAAACAGAATAAGAAACAAAATAATGGTAAATTGCTTTTGTAAATAGTTTCAGGGTAAATCATCTGATGAAGCTCTGAAGTAACTTTATGTTCCTGTAGGTTTTGGATTTCAGCAGCGTTTTAGATGAGCTGTTCTGCCAGTAAAGACTCTTTTCCAAATGCCTAATCTACTAAAAATAAAAGTGCACAGCTGCTTTTTGTTATCTTTTATTTTGAAGGTTGATATAGTAAAATACCTTCAGTGGACGTTAAAATTAGACCTGAATTCTTTGGCTTCACTGAGTGTTTTTAATCGCTAATCTCTTACTTTACATTTTTCGAACAAAAACATTGATTTTACTCAGATGTTGACCCATCCAGTCGCTTTCATTGTGGACGTACTGGTGATAAAAGCTCCACAGATCTGGAAAGAGACGTTCATAACCTTCATCAAACAGAATACAATATTTTTTCTACATCTGCAGATCAGTTTCTACAGTTCAGTGAAACTTAATTCACAATAATACAAAGTACAAACTATTTTTGGTGCATTTTTTGCCCCTTTAATTTCTTTAAATAGAGGAAAATGGTTTATGTAAGAAAAAAATAATAACTCCTGTATTTAGTTATTGTGCTGTTTATGTTTTATCATTAATAAAAATGTCAAGCAATAAATATGTTTTTTTTCTGAGTTCTTAGGTTAAATTAATCCACGTTTAGTGGTTATCATGAGCCTTTCTTAGACGACAGCATCTTCTCGCTGAAATGATCAGAAATTGTTTTGACCTCAAGAATCGTTTCTGTCTCTTCTCTCTGGCAAACTCTCCTGTCGCCTCTCTCAGTGTTTCCCCTTGTATTTAACACACACTAATACATCACCAGCTCTGCAAACACACGCACACACACCTGTCCTCCTGTCTGTTGGATAGGAAGCTGAAGCTGGAGAACGAGCTGGTGGCCCAGCTGTGGAGGGTTTCCTGGGACGACATCCAGATGAGCAACCTGGAGAAATCCCTGAGGAGAACCTGCAGCCGCCTCACCATGTCTCTGGTACAAAACCTGCGGCATAAACACTGAAACTGTTCGTTTACAGCGTCTCAACGTCAAGGTTCTGGTTCCTCTTACTGCGGTTCCACCTCAGGCTTTTAGCACATTCTGCTATTATGGCTTTTATTTTGAAATGTTTATTCAAGACAGTCAGAAATGACAAAGTTAACATAAATAAGTCGACCTACAAAACTATGATGAGAATTACAAGTAGAATATTTTTTAATTACAAGGATAAAGTTGTAAAATCGCAAGAAAAAAGTTGTTTTAATAAAATGTGTTATATTAGTCAAATAACTACTTCAAATTTCAAAGTCCTACTGATAATATTTTCACGCATATTTGTAAAACCAAATTATAACTTCTGTAGATTGTTGGGATATTCAAAATTTCTCTTTTTAATTTTTTTTTATTATTTATCATGTAGTAGTTTTCATAAAAATATCACTTTATTTGCATAATTATTATAACTTTATTGTAGTTAATTAGACTTTTTTCTAATATTTATTATGACATTGTTCTCATTTTATTAAAATTTTATTATTATATGACTTTATTTTCATAACTGAACAAAGATAAAATTTTCTCTTTCAGTCCTAATGCTTCGTCATACAACTCATTATTTTTCTTTTTCTTATTACTTCTACCAGTAGCAGTATTTGTTGTTACTATTATGTTTGTTTATTTGGTAATATTTGAATTATCTTCATTTTGAACATTTTTTTTCTTTTGCACATTATTGTAAAACTTTCCTTTAAATAAAACTGGTTTTGTTCCATATTTACCTAAACTTGTCCTGCAGTCATTTCAGATTAAATGTTCTGCTTACCCTGATCATATTTATTTTTTTTCTCCAGAAAGGATCAAACTTAGGTTCTCTGATGACCATGGAGGGAAACTTTCAGATCTACACTAAAACTGGATACTACAAGGTGTGTGAGAGTCACTGCACGTTAATCTGTAAATCTGCTGTAAAGGGGATGAAGACGAGGATTTTCTTCCTCTCAGGGAAATCTGACTGCCATCAAATATATCAACAAGAAGCGGATCGAGCTGACGAGGAAGGTTCTGTTCGAGCTCAAGCACGTAAGAGTCCGCTCTATTTTTAAACTGTCCTGGTTGCAGACGACTTTGATGTGATTTCAGTGTCTCGTTTTCTGCAGATGCGAGACGTTCATAACGAACATCTGACTCGTTTTATTGGAGCCTGCCTCGACCCGCCGAACATGTGCATCATCACAGAGTACTGCCCCAGAGGCAGCCTGCAGGTGAAACCCGCTGGGCTCAAACACTCTTTACATTTAGCTCAAAGATAAATGTTAGAAATCTGAATTTTTTAGCCTATATTTGCTGTCCAAAAGCAAATACATCGACATTTACAAGGATTTGGATCAACTGTTCAACCAGATTTAAATATTTTTCATTCTCAGCTTGTTAGTTTTTACTTTTGGAGCCGTTTAAACTGATGGCAGCAACATCTTTTTCTTTGGTTGGCTAAAAATGAGTCACATATTCAGAGTGGATTAAATAACTCCAACCCTTTTTCACTAGTTTCAGTCAAATTGAACAAAAAACAGGCAGGAAAAAACAAAAGGAAAATTCAGAAAATACCAGGGGTGCCCAAAGTGCGGCTCACGGGCCTCATGTGGGCCGTGGAATGATTCTGTGCGGCCCTCATCAGGAAGTTGATGCAGATAGATTCACTTTTAATCTTTAAGGATGAGATTTTCCACAGGTAAATATTTATTTTAATTGAAAACATTAGTTAAAATACTTATTATCAATGATCATATTTTGTGCTTTATTTTAACTTTATTATATTACTGACAAAAACTTTTACTCAAAGCAGACTCGGCACCCAATAAATCAATAAAAATGGCAAAACACATTGACTGTAATCTGTATATTATTCTTGCTGCAGAAAAAAAAACTTCTATACAAAGAAAATATTAAAAAATAAAAAATTAGAGCATTGTACTTCTTTCTGTTTCAGATCTGCGATGATTGACAGATCGGTTTTGTACTTGAAACTTTGATTTGAATAACAACATTTCATATTGAGTTTCTTATTGTGCAGGAAAATCCATTGATTTTACAGGAACGTCTCGGTAGCAGCTTTAAGGGGTCGGGTTGGGAGACCAGATCTGGGCTCAAAAATGATCCAAAAAGCAAAACAAAAGAAGGTTTTAAACTTTTCTTCTGCTCAGAGTTTTAAAACGTTACAGAATCGTCTCTGTGTCTGAATCACTGCGTTATTTTTACCCATCGTCCTCCATGACCCGCCGTCCACATCAAACCTTCATCTCTGCAGAAGCACAGCTACAGTCGTCTCCCAACACGGTAACCTAGCAACCTGCCAGCAGGGTAACCTAGCAACAGCTGCTGTGGGGCCGCGTGGGTTTTGGGTTGTTGCCTGATGACCGCTGAATTTAAGAGTGGAGTGAGCTATTTTCTGCCCTGAGAGGACAGAGATGGCGGGGTTTTTAGCATCGCGGAGAGAGTCGCCGTCCTTCTGCAGATGTCCTCGCTGAAACGACCTGAGAACGGTTTCACTGCGAGAAAAAACGTCTGCAGGAAAACTGCTGAGGTGAAGAAATATCTGCAGTCTGAAGGTTCAGGATGATCAGGAGGAAATTTATTTCACTTGAAAGCAGGACTTTGTTGTGTTCAAACTGAAACCTTTTACTTTGAATGAGGGCTGAAACGATTAATTGTGATTAATTGATTATTTGAATAATCAGTAAGTAATTTAGTAATCACTTAATTGTTAACTGGACTCAGAAAAAAAACTCAGAGCAGTAATTAAACCAAAACTGTACAAAATATAATATTTATACATTTTGCATTTAATATAAATATATAAAAAATGTTCTAAACAAAATTTATCAAGTAGTTTTATCTTCACCTAGTTCAAATTATGTAAAAATAAAAAATAATTTTAAAAAAACATCTGCACCATTGAGACATTAGAACTTTGCATAAATAGAAATAGGTAGATGCAAATTAAATACGTTTACAAATCTTTTTTTTTTCTGAAAGTCCTCACATCTAAATTAGTTTAATTGACTCACATTTTATCCTTTCTGTTAAGGCAGATAAATTCAACCATAATTCTTCTCTAAGTTTAAACCAAGACTAAATTTATGTCAAAAATAGTGAAGCCAGTTAGAACTTAAATCATTCATTTAATTAATTGTCAACTAATTTAGCAATTGATTAATCATTAACTGGAGTTAACTGGATGAACAACAAACCGACAGAGCTGTAAGTAAGTCAAGTTAAAAAAAGTGAGCGATTCAAGTTGATGTTACAAGTGCAGTATTTTCCGGACTATAAGTTGCACCAGCCATAAAATGCACAATAAAGCAGGAAAAGACATATATAAATGGCATTTTTTGGGGAAAATTTATTTGATAAAAATCAACACCAAGAACAAACATGTCATCTTGAAAGGCAATAAAAATAGAACAGGCTGAATAATTGTACGGTGTGCTAATGTTACATGACAGATGAACAACAAACTGAGAATGTGCCTGGCATGTAAACATAACATATTAAGAGTTATTCAGATAACTATAAATGACATGCTAACAAGTTTACCAAACCATCCATGTCGCTCCAATTCACTAAAATGAATAAAATCTTCCTCCTCAATGTCGTTTTTTAAACAACTCTGTTAACTCCGAAGGTAGAATAACACAGGCTGAGAGCGCCCTCTTGCGGTTTAGTGTGAAAATAACATGTGATATGATATAATGATGTGTTAATTTCCACACATAAGTCGCTCCTGAGTATAAGTCGCAACCCTGGCCAAACTATGAAAAAAACTGCGACATATAATCTGGAAAATACGGGGGGGGTTTTCTGCTGATGCATCTTTTGCTACAAAAAATCAAACTTTCACTAAAGGAATGCTATTATTACATTTTAGGCAATTAGAATTGATATTCTTTCTTCAAAAATGAATTTAATTATTTGTTTTTAAATTTTTAATGGATTGTTAATATTATATTAAAAAGTCTTAAGTGGTTAGTTGAATAATCAAAATAAAGTTTCAGCCCTACTTCACAGCATTTGCACAGATAAGCTGCAGGATGTTTAAATTTTTTGAACTTTAAGACTTTTTTCTGCTCGCTCTCTGAATGCAGCGAGGCAGGAATGACATCCCGTACTCCAGACATGACTCTAGCACTGCCGCAGCGTCGGCTGGCTGCTTCACAAGCCCACACAGATGATGACGATGACGATGATTATAAAACAGAGGGTCGGGATGAAGCTGCGTGTGTTTGTCTTCCAGGACCTGATGGAGAGCGATGGCATCACTCTGGACTGGATGTTCAGATACTCACTCATCACCGATATCGTCAAGGTAACGACCCGCTCAACTAAACTCACTGATTCTGCTCTTTCTGCCCGAGCTGACAAACTGTTGACGAACCCAAAGCCTAATATCCATCTTTATTTTGTTTTTAAAGCATACAAATACATATCAAACAACTTGCTGCTTCACTTTTTCCTTCCACTTAACTTTCTGTAAATATTCTCCAACTTTTGTTGAAAAATTCTATATTTAAATACATTAAATTTTGGGTTTTATAACCATCAAAAATATCAGATATGAAGAGTTGCAATACTTTCCTCTATGTGTGATAATTCTATAGTGCTGAGATGATCAATCGAATTAATAGTGACAAATCAACTATTGAAATAAAACTCAACTAATTTAGTAATTGATTAATAGTTACCTGGAGTATACAGAATCAAAAAATGCCAATTTGTGAAAGAACAACATGTTCAGAGCAGAAATTGATCCAAAACTGTACAAAAATTTATAATTTTTTCATTTAAGATAATAAAAAAACATTCTTTGTAAATATTTCACCCAAAGCTAAAAAGCTACAGAAAATGCCAGTTTTTTACTCAATAAATTATCAGAAAAATTGATAAAATAACTTATTACTAAAATGACCTTTTCTTGCAGCCCTAATTCTACATATAGTTTGAATTTAACTTTCTGAACTGAGAGCAAATATTGAAATTTTTCACAATATTTTTGAGCTACACTTGTACTTAAGGTATATATGTTTTATTATTGCGTTTTAAAATATTTTTCAGTCAACTAGAGAAATGTGAAAGCCTTTTGATCAGCTCCCTATTGCAGCTGCTCTGGGTTTTCTAACAGCAGTAATTAATTCACTTCACCAATCCAGTAATTTTCACATTTTGCCTTTGACAGCCTCCGCATGTCCAGTTATTTCCCATTTCCACCATATGTTTGCCATCAGTCACCCGACTGCCAGTAGTTTTCTGTGATTATTTCAGTGATTATTTCTGCGCAGGGAATGGCCTTCCTCCACAACAGCGTCATCATCTCCCACGGCAACCTGAAGTCCTCCAACTGTGTGGTGGACAGTCGGTTTGTGCTGAAGATCACAGACTACGGGCTGCAGAGTCTGCGGACCAGCAGCTTCCCTGAAGACACACACGCTTTCTACGCGCGTAAGAGCAAAACACACACCGGCCAGTTCGCAGCAAAGCACACAGCATCAAAAACGTATCTACGACCTCTGACCTTTTTACAGTTATTGATCAAAAGAAGTTGACTCAAAAGTTTTCACAGGCCAGAAAGATGAAAGTAAAACTAAAATAAAGCAGTCCAATTTTTTTTTGTTGTTGAAATAAATCCAAACCTTAAAGAGGACTTTGAATATTTGCTGTATTAAAAGAAGAGTTTTCAAATTGTTTTTATTCTCGGTAAAAGAACAGGAGTTGGGTCACTTCCTTTCAAGGCGCCTGCGAATGTTTAGCCAAGGTTAGTAATTCAGATACGAGCTGATTTGGGTGCAGCGAAGTCGACTTTTCAGAAAAGTCTCTGTGATGACATGGCTCTGCTTATTAGAAACACTTGAAATATAAAAACAAAAAAACTTAACATTTTCCATTGAAAGAAAAGTATGTTAGTGACAATTACAAATAAAGTTTGTACACTGCAAAAACAAATTCTCACCAAGTATCTTTGGTCTCGTTTCTGGTGCAAATATCTTATTTGAAATAAGACAAAAATTAGTAACTTTTTTTCAGTCAGTAATTCCTGAATAGTTATAAATATTGTCAGATTATTTCACTTATAACGTGTCCTGCTATAAGTGAGATAATTTGCCAATAAAAATAATTATGGAATTACTTAATTGGAAATCCAATAAATCACCTTAAAACGGCCCCTACTACACAGAAACAGCTGACATAAAATTAAACATATCTCAAATGTACGACATTAATTGCCATAACAGTGAAAAACCTCCACAAAACCTGGCAAAATTACACATAATGTAATTAAATTTATCTAAACCATATGTTAAAATATAATATTTGAACTGATGATCCTGAAAGTTACCGACAGCAACAGAAAACATGGGAGGTGCGGCAGGAAAAGTTACGTTTTGACTCAACAAGACGAATTTGAAGAATAAATAAACATTTCTGACAAACTTTGAAACTATGATATTGTTAAAATAAAACCCTGTTAGATAAATATATGCAACAAGAACAGACTGTCAGCATTTTGCGTCAGATGTTTGTGTTGGATAAAATATGGATCTTTCTGTTCATAAAGGGACTACATTTCAAGCACTGTAAAAAACTTTTTTTTTTCCAGTTAAATTGCAGATTTTTATATGAATGAGCTGTTTACTGACAGGAAAGCTGTGGACTGCTCCCGAGCTGCTGAGGAAGGAGAGTCCGCCCTGCGGCACCCAGCGGGGCGACGTCTACAGCTTCGGCGTGATCCTGCAGGAAGTCGCTCTGCTGAAGGGTGTTTTCTACCTCGACTCGCACTCCCTCTCCCCCAAAGGTCAGCGCCGAAGCCGGCCTCTAATCTCTGAGCAGAAACACAAACGCGATGAAAGCGTCGGGTTGTTTACATTCCTGCCTGGCAGCTGGACGGGCCTTCGTCGTTAACCCCTCGCCTCGTTGGCTGCATGGCGTCAGGTGTTATCTCCACTTCTGGAGTAAACATGTCGCTGCCTGGTCCGCTTCAGCAATACACAACATTAATTATGATAACAGCTGAAAACATGTACAAAACACGGCAAAGATACAGATACAGGAGCTGGTTTCCAGTCAATAATTCTTTAATATTTATAAAATTACCTGTTTCACTGGCAGATTATTTCACTTATAACATGGGGAAAATGTCTTGTTGTAATGAAAACTGGAATTAGTACTTTTTGTAGTCAATATCAAGGAATTATTTTAATTCATAACCTTAAACAATCTCTACTGCAATAGCTCCCAAAGTGCAGTTAAATTATTAAAAACGTATTTTAAAAAATGACAAAATTACGCAAAAAACACTGTATGTCATTAAATTTTCCCAAAATAAACTCAGAGCTGATGATTCTGGTACGTAACATCGTTACAGTCGGCGGAGGAGCTGTCGGTTACCGGTTGCTATGGCAACTGCCGACTGTCAGGCGCAACGTCAACATGACTAATACAGCCATAAATGTCGGGAGAAAGTAACTTTTTGACGAAACAAAATGAGTTGGAAGAACAAACACAATCTCAAAGTCCCTCCAACTTTGAATCTGAGAGCATCAGATATTTTTTTTGCAGGTCTGAAATAAAAATGTCAAAATTTGAAATTTTAGCTTAAATTTAGTCAGATTGAACACACTCCGAAAACATAAAATCTAATCAAGATCATTTCTAGTGGGACTCTTTCAGTACACTTAAAAGAAGACAAACGTAACTTAAAAGCAACTTTTCAGCAACATGTAGGAGTTTCTGTTCAGTCAGTAATTTCTTAATAATGATTTTAAAAAGTGCTAGTCTTAATAATCTCCCCGTAGATCAAGACATTTTTTCCATATAAATTAAAATGTCTTGTTCCACCCGCAGATTATTTAATTTATGACTAGTAGTTTTTAAATGTTAATGAATTAATTACTTGTGTTGTATTTATATTCTTTGTTTTGTATTTAATTTGTATTTTTTTGTATTTTGTGTATGCTTACTGTGTGCCACATTTTTGCCTGTGAGCTGCTGGTAACTATAATTTCCTGAGGGAGTCTTCCCAAGGGATCAATAAAGTCAAGTCTAAGTCTAAGTCTAAAACAAGCCATTATATTGTGCTGAGAAGTTATTTGTATGTTAGTTTTGTACTATGAGATTTGTACTGTTGTTTTGCTCTGACCCGGCTGTTCTGACTCGGTGCCTCTGCGCGTAACAGAGATCATCCAGGCGGTGATGCGGGGCGGCGTCCCTCCGCTCCGCCCCTCGCTCTGCTTCCACAGCCACAGCGAGGAGCTGGGGGTCCTCATGCAGCGCTGCTGGAGCGAGGAGCCCAACGAGAGGCCCGACTTTAATACCATCAAGATCCTCCTGAGGAAGCAGCACAGGTGGGGAAATCACAGAATGGGTTCATTTATTTCACTGTTTGAAACTAACAAAATGAACCTATGATGAAAAAAATCTACATTTTATAGTTAACTACAACTACCAAAAATAACGAGAAGCTAAATTTAGAAAAAAAAATCATCAACATATATAAATAAAGAGGAAAAACTATGAGAACAAATGCACCATTCCTGGTGAAATACAACCAATCAAAGCCCGGAGGAGGTTCTTAGAGCTGTCAGTCATCCTTATGTAGGTGCTGCTCAATGTGCTGATGGTGGATAAACAACTTACTGTTACAGAAAAACTGGACTTTATACTAAATACACATCAGAATATATTAATAATCAATAATAATAATTAGATTTAATTATTGTTGTTTTATTGTGGCTTACAACTAGTTAAAATAAAACCAAAAAAGTAGGATTTTTAGAAAATAAGAATCACAAAAGGACTTTTTATACAGAATTATGTTGATGTTTGACTGTCATCGAGATCCTCCATTAAAAGGTCACCGCTAATTCAGAGTAGTGCTTCCAGGTATATTAATGAAAAGTTTAGTGGAAGGAAAAAGTTTTGACAGAAGACAGTATGTTCTTTTGAGTTTTTGAGTGTGAAAAAGCATCGAGATCTGGCAAATATTGAAATTTAAGGCACAGCCAGAACATTTCAGTTCAGTCCAAGTTAATTTGACCCAAGGTGCCACAGTAAACAAGATAAAAATAAAACAACCGTTGTTTTTTGTACAAAAGCAAATTACGTTCTTGGCTGGTCCTTTCTTAAAATTAAAGATTCCCACATTATTAACTGATTTTTTGATTATTACAAACAATTCAGCCAGTTGTAATTTGATTTCTTTGTGACACAATGATTCTACTCTTAATATCTTGAAGGGTTGGTTTTTGACATTTAAGTGTCTTTTAACATTAAATGTAATATTTATTATCAAAAACAAGCGAGGGAAAAACATTTTAATATAACATAAGATTGTTTTCATTCGTTTTCTTCTTGGTTGTTTGTATTTTCAGAGGTTACGGTTCCAACATCCTGGACAACCTTCTGTCTCGCATGGAGCAATACGCCAACAACCTGGAGGAGCTGGTGGAGGAGCGAACTCAAGCTTATAACGAGGAGAAACGCAAAGCCGAGGCTCTGCTCTACCAGATACTACCACAGTAAATGTCCTCCACAGATAAACTACGGGCATTAAGTGTTTTCTGCAGCAGCATGCGGCTGAAATGCTGTTATTTTTGGGTTCCAGCTCGGTAGCCGACCAGCTGAAACGAGGCGAGTCGGTTCAGGCCGAAGCCTTCGACTCCGTCACCATCTATTTCAGCGACATCGTTGGCTTCACCGCTCTGTCTGCAGAGAGCACGCCGCTGCAGGTCGGTGGAAAGCATGAAACCAGCGCCTAACTGGAGGGAGTTGAAGCAGAACACCGGAAGATTAAAACTAGACTGCCCTCTAGTGGAGAAAGAGAGTAACTACATCTCAGATTTCCTGTTTCTGGCGAAGGAAATCACAACAAATCAACTTTTACACAAAATGGGGGGATTTTATGTCATAGATAAACATGAAGTAATCTATAACTAGTCAACCTTTTTTACTCTGACACCCCTAAATAAGTGCAAACAAACGCCTTCAGAAGTCAACTCATTAGAGAAGAGAGCCAACCTTTCAATTAGCTGTTTTCAGATTTATCGTCAAAAGTTCTTATTGTGAAAACAAATTTACCACAATAAGTGATAAACGAAAATGCTCATCCCTAATACGAAACTTTTGTTTTATTAAAAAACAAAAGTATATATAATATAAAAGCATTTCTTTGCCCTTCACATGAATTACTGTGTTTTACCATCATAAATATTTATTTTATGTTTCTATTCAGACATGGTAGCAGAAAATAACACACATGAACAAGAAATGTAAAGGGACTCAATATCCTGAAAAATAAATGTAGGAACCAGATATTTTATTTATGTTTTTTAAGAAATGTGTCTTTCATTGACAACAAAAAACTTTCTCTGGCTCCTCTGTTTTGCATTTGTATTGAAAATGATTTAATTTGTGTTTCCCTGCAGGTTGTGACCCTGCTAAATGATCTCTACACGTGTTTTGATGCCATCATAGACAACTTTGATGTTTACAAGGTGAAACTAATGTTTTGATTTAAAGTCCTGGGTATGAGGCGAATCAAGACTATTTTAGATTTTAAAAAAGTACATTTCCACCAAAAAAATCATAGAAATTTTCTAGAAATTAACTTGAAAGTCTAGAATTTTCTCCAGCAAACTTGATAATATGCAACTTTTGAAACCCAAAACCTTCTTGTTTGTTTCTAGAACATTTCAGAGATTTGAATTTTAAAAAATTATTTTCAAGCTCAAGAATTTCTGCATTTTTCGTAGAATTTTTTAAATTGATCTCAAAATTTCAGAATTTTTTTCTAGCATATTTTTTGACTTTTCAAATTCTGAAGTTTCCAAAATAAATGTTTTTAAATTAGTCTAAAAATAATGGAGTTTCTTGGATTAAATTCACTCCTTCATTTTTCTACTTTTGCCCTAATGTACCCCCGTAGCTGCCAGCTGGCCTAAATGTTAAATGATTCATTTACTGCGGTCTCTTCAGGTGGAGACGATTGGGGACGCCTACATGGTGGTGTCGGGTCTGCCGGTCAGGAACGGTAAGCGACATGGTCGGGAAGTCGCCCGGATGTCTCTGGCTCTGTTGGACGCAGTCAAGAGCTTCAAAATTCGACACCGACCCGATCAGCAGCTGCGGCTTCGAATTGGCATCCACAGCGGTACGGCCGCACCGCCGCACTCATTCCAAACAACAAACTACAAAAACGCTCAAACATTCTGAGTTGTTGGTGTGTTTTCGTCTAGGCACTGTGTGTGCAGGTGTGGTTGGGTTAAAAATGCCCAGGTACTGTTTGTTTGGAGACACGGTGAACACGGCGTCACGCATGGAGTCGACAGGAGAGGGTGAGACCCGCAGGAAACCGCTCACGCATCAGCAGCAAAACTGCAGCATTTACACCCACAAAACCCAGAAGTTAGAACTTTACAAGCACTATTCATTAAAAATAACCAGGCAAAATCAAATTAAAAAATGTTTACAAAGGTTGCTTTTTTCTGTTGGACAATTCAACTCGTACAGTATAATAAAATACACTCTTATACATGAGTTCAACTGGCTCATGTTTGATGTATTTATTTTTATTTATATCTATTATATAAGCTAATATTAGCCATATTTCTTCTCTAAAAATGTTAGCTGGGACACAATTTATGTAAAAATATAGAACTACTAATTTGAACTGAAGCAATTAATTGGATTCATTGTGATTAACGGAAATAATTAACTAATTTATCAATCGATTTGTCGTTAACTGGAGTATACAGACTCAATTAAAGCACATTTTCTGAAAAAATAAATACAGTCAAAGATGTAATTAAGCCAAAACTGTACAAAAAATATAAACATTTTGCATTTAAGATAACACAATGATCGTGACAAACAATAGATTCAGTTCAGTTCAGTAATGTCAGACATGTTTCCCTCTCAGCCCTGAAGATTCATGTGTCGGAGGCGACTCGTCAGGTCCTGCAGGAGTTCGGCTCCTTCCAGCTTCAGCTCAGAGGGGAGATCGAAGTGAAGGGCAAAGGTCGCATGAGGACGTACTGGCTGCTGGGAGAAAATGAGAAGAACTGAGAGTCAACCAGCTGGACGGCGTTTTGGACTGACTGATCCAAACTGGTTGCTCCAGGGATAAACTGTAGAAAAGAGTAAAACAGACAAGATGAATGTGTCACTTGTAAGATAAAACATCAAAACTTGTGTAAATACATAATAAAATGGGTATTGTTACTTTTGTTTAAATGTCTCTTGGTAGTTTTCTGTGTGCCTTTTGCATGTACCCTGTTTCATTTTTATATATTTATAACAATAGAGAATATTTTTAATATTTCAACAACATTTCTGAAATTTGTCTTTTATTCAAAAGCGTATTAAAAATTTGTTTCTCCCTGCAGGGCAGTTTGTGACGCTGCTAAATGATGTTTGCAAAGTGAAGCTAATATTTCGACGTATTTTTTAGGGGTTTGCAAAAAAATGCAATGGATATTCAATTTAAAATTGGTAGGTTTAACAGCAGCCAATCAGAGTGGAAAACATATTCCTGTTCTGAGCCATTTTCTCATGTTAGTTGCTGAATTTTGCACAAAATGATCAGATAAAAGATGTACAAGAAAAACAGTTGAACAATTTGCACAAAGACTGAGCCCTGCAACATTAAAACATGGATAGGAGTGCAACTATATTAATCATAACACTTGTTCTCTTCTGTTCCTACTATTTTTGATGATTTTCCACTTGCAGGTAAGAATAAAATTATTTAGTCGGGGTAAAAAGTCCTGTCTTAGGAATTACATTGTTTAAGTATTTCTTTGCATAAATTTTTATTCTTTATAATACTAAACTTTGAACGTAATTTTTCTTTTCTTTAATTGTAGTGCTACTCTTATTGGAGCACATTTTTGGGAGGCAATTGTTTTAATTTTCCAGTGTTAGAATATGCTATTACAACAAAATATGTAATCATTTTAAGCCTTTCCATGCATGCTTACCAGGGAAATCATGTGTTCTCACAATTTGTGCATTTCTACGTTACTTGTAAACAAGATAAAGTTGTTTCCATGCAGGTGGATGCCTGTATAGTTATTCAGGGATTGGCCCTTGATTCTTTCGCTTGCTATTGGTTGTTACTGACGTCGTTCAGATCAACGTGCAACCTGATTGGTCAATGGGCTCCGTTGTTCACACACCGTACCCGAGCTCAGTCTGTGCGGATGTCCGTTATGTTACTGTAGTCGGACGGTGTTACGGAGTCAGACTGGTATCCAAGCTGCCTCCAAATAAGTTTTAAAAACACATATCAACTGACCGAAGTGATTCACAGCGAGGCTCTGACCCGGGCCACAGCCCCCGTGACTCTCCATTACATCGATACAGACACCAACAACATCACTGAAACGGTAGTCCCAACCCAGCACAGCTCCGCGGGGCCCCGGAGAGGCGCGGCGGGAGCAGATGGAGCCTGCACCGGCAAAGGCGAAGCCACAGGGCCGGCTCCTGGTGTCCACCCAGCTGGATGCTAAAGACGAGTTAGAGGAGGTAGGGAGACCAGGACTGGTTAGCTTGGATACCTAATTTTATTTTGGATGAACCGAGGCAGAACGAGGATATAATAGACCCAATTAAATTTAATTTGTGCAAAAAAATCCAAAGGTACAAAGACATGGAACCATTTTATCAAGTGCTGCTGCTAACAGGCTAGTTAGCATAGCCAGCAGAAGGTTAGCAGCGGTAGTTAAGGAGAATAGACCTGTGAACATCTTATTGAAGACATGGAGCTGAATGAGATAAAGGTGTAGTGTTTGTTTTCAGTGTTTGGGCTCTTAGAAACGCTGCTGTTTTTATTTGCAATCTCCCAAGTTCATGAAATATAGCCTAGCATGCTAATGCTACGTAAACATATGGATGAGACCTATGTGACAGTTACGCATGCGCCCTGTTTCACATGTCAGATCTGTTGAGACCCTGTTTATTTTTATTAAATTATAACTACTTGTGGAATCACCCGCAGTTGAATAAGCAACCAAACAAAAGTGCGTTTACTTTCACTTTTCGTCTTCAACCTGAAGACGAGAGGCTGAAGATGCACTGATTGCACTATTCGTAAGGCCTCCATGTTTACCTTCTCTGGACATACCATAATATTATGGTATTAACGAAAAGATTTTAAACAAAATCTGTAATATTACTTAGCTGGTGTTATTTAAACCACAAAAGCAACAAATATTCATGCTGCTGCGAAGTAAATGTCAAATTATTATTGTTACATCTTTAACATTAATTTATTGTTTTGATTCTGATGCCTATATTTATGCATTACAGCTGGTTTTAAATGTTTAGTGTGTAGAACATTGCAATATTTATATTTCAAAGGACAGTTTGGAGTGCAATACTTGTTGGTCATATGAACTTGCAGTGTACATGCCAATGCAATATTTAGCCCGTTGGACAGAGTCTCATATCAACACAATGATAAAGTTTACAAAGGATAAAGACAAAAAAGAAGAAAGTAGGCATGTATTTCACCTGGCATCCAAAAATTTACTTTTTTTTGCTATTGCAGTTTCAAGAATTCCTAAAATTATTGCAAAGATAAAAAATATTTGTTATTTTTCATTGCTTTTAGGTACATGGTCAGGGCTTACTGTTCAAGTTTTAATCCACTAAGATTGAACTTTTAACTGGATTTTTGAAATCACCTTGATATCCTGTTGGTTAATGTCTTTAAATACCTAAAAGTTAACTAATTTACACCTGAGCAGATTCTTCTTATTCTAAGTAAAGGTTCAAATTCCATATAAAAAGTAATTGTATTATTATTAGAGTTTAATGATAGTGTTTGCATTGGAACAAGTTGAATTAGCTTTTTTTGTTTCAAGATTAAATATTTTCTGTCACGGGGTTAAATGGTGATATTAGTTTTTATTGCACCTACTTAAAGACCAATCAAAGATTGTTTATTAAATGTTTCACCTGAATATTTAATTATATTAAATTAAGCAAAGAGTATGGCTACTTCGGTTCCCACATTTTGCCACTAGAAATACTTTCAGACGCTCTGCTTGTCTTTCAGCCAGCTGACCTGGAGGGGGCAGCAGCAGATGTGTTGCTATTTTAAAATGTTGTTTCTTCATACTGGAGCCGTCATTTATTACCAGTTTAATGAGATTGTTTGTTTTTCTCTGATGCTGCTCAGAAAAGAATAGTACAATACTATATTACATTCTGAAACAGCAAACATGGTTTTAATCATTCTTGCAGAGTTTTAATAAAGGAGTAATGTCAGTGTTGGTGTGTTTGACAGTCTTCATGTTTATTTTGTGTGTTCCAGAGATTGGAACGATGTGTTGTGATCGTCCAAGCATTGACCAATGGGCTGTCAGAACGGGAAGCCAACGATGCACTCACTGCCAACGTAAGAAATGCTCATTATTACAACAAAGTTAACAAAGTACGATAGAATATCTGTGAAAGATTTCTTATGGTGGTTCGTCAAATAATAGTTGCATTTTTTTTTCTCAAAACATTTTTCATGTGAAATCATGGAACAAACTTCGGTGTATGCTTTGTGCAGGTGTGTAAAGGCCAGCAGCAGCATGAGGAGGTCTGTCTGGGTCTGTTCACCCTGGTCCTCACAGAGCCGAGCCAGGCCCAGAGGGTGAGTCGCCTCGCCATGTCTGCTGCATTCAGCATCACTGCAGCTGAATCATAACAACCTTCTGATCTGGTGTGTTGGAACAGTGCTACAGAGATCTGACGCTGGTCAACAGAGACGGGATGAACATAGTGCTGGTAAAAATCAACCAGATCCTGATGGAGAAGTTCCTCAAACTGCAGGACAATCCCAGAACGCAGGTACAACCCATCGTCGATGTGAAGGAAATAAGACAAATCAACCAATCAGTCAAGTTGATTTGTCTAGCAACAAGGCATTTCAAAGTGTCTTACATCATAGATTTTTAAAAACATTACATTTTGCCATCATTACTCATCAAATTGTTTATTAATGTTTAATTTATTATGGTTCAAAGTAACTCTGAACAGGAGGGTTTTTAGTCGAGATTTAAAGGAACTCAGTGTTTCGGCTGTTTTACAGTTTTCTGGAAATTTGTTCCAGATTTGTGGTGCATAGAAGCTGAATGTTGCTTCTCCATATTTGGTTCTGATTTTGGTTCTTCAGAGCAGAACCAGAAGACCTGAGAGGTCTGGGAGGTTGCTATGATAACGGCTGATCTTTAAAATATTGTGGTGCTGAGCCATTCAGTGATTTATGAACTAAAAGTGTTTTAAAATGTATTCTCTGAGCTACAGAGAGCCAGTAGAGGGACTGTACAACTGGATGATGTGCTCTAACTTCCTGGTTTTAGTCAGAACACCAGCAGCAGCGTTCTGGATCAGCTGCAACTGGAGGATTATTTTAGGCAGCCCCGTAAAGATGTTGTTGGAGTAATCACTGCGAGTAAAGATAATCACATGGATGAGTTTCTCTAAATCTCTAGCTCTGAGTGCTCAGAGTGTTGATGGTTGGTTTGTGTGCAGCTGGTGTGGCTGGTCAGGGAACTGGTGAAGAGTGGAGTAATTGGAGCCGACGGCGTCATCATGACGCTTCTGAAGCAGATTGCAGGTTAGATTCACGCAGACTTCGTCTTTTATTTCCGAAACCAAGCGCTTAGTTTGTCCTGATGTTGCTGTTTGCTTTTGCAGGTGGAGACATTTCCGCTAAGAACCTCTGGTTGGCGGAGAGCGTCCTGGACATCCTGCTCGATCAAAAGTAAGCCTCACTCACATCCGTTCTTTAATGGGGACCTATTATGAAAAACTCACATTTCACGTGTTTTTGTACTTCTGTTTGGGGTCAACTTCTTCTAAAAAAAAAAACCTAGACGCTTAAGGAAAACACCCAGCTGTTTTTTGGCAATGCAAAATGAGCCATTTCAAAAATCTTCCAAATGTTGAGTCACATTTGAAAAACTCTGCACTGTCACCAGCACATTTTGTCAGTTGTATGCGCTGCACAATGGCTGCTTGAAGAGACAAGTGTTTAGTTGTTGACTTACCATCCTGAAACAACTTGCTGCATTCTTGTTGGTGGTACACAAGGCTCCACTTCTGCTTTTCAAAGATGTATGGTTTAAAATTGTGGGAGTTCAAAATAGGAAGAACTGACCAGATTAAAATCTTATCTTAGAATAATTTGGTGCAAAAAATATGATGAAGATGTTTGTAAAGCCTGTAGATCTGTCCTAACCTGTTCAAGGAATCATACTAGATCATGTTTAAAGTTTGGTGAATTTTCACAAATAAGTCTCTAAATGTTTTTGTTCTCTGAAGGGAGTGGGTGTTGAAGAGCGGGATGTTAATAGCGATGTCGGTGTACACCTACCTCCGTCTGATTGTGGATCACGGCACTCCAAACCTGCTGCCTCTGCGCCAGAAAGAAGTGGATTTCTGCATCAGCATGCTGCGGGAAAAGGTACAAAAGGAAGATCTCCTGCTTCAGTTCTTGTTCTCACGTCGATAACTCTCTCTCTCTCTCTCTCTCTGTGTTTGTAGTTCATGGAGTGCCTCATCATCGGCAGAGATCTGGTTCGTCTGCTGCAGAATGTTGCTCGGATCCCGGAAATGGAGCTGCTGTGGCGGGACTTGTTGCACAACCCTCAGGTTCTCAGTCCTCAGTTTACAGGTGAGCTCAGCTTCACTACCTGGAATACGGCACGTTGTTTTGTTTTGTTTTGTTTTGAAGATTTAATTTTTGGAAAGATCTGGATTTTTTTCTCACCAGTGCTTCGGTTTCCATAGTTCAGAGTGATGTCAGCACACAGAGGGCGGCCATCTTGTTTTAAAGCTTATTTTACAGCTTCTGTTTATTTGGACTTTGAGTAGAAATCAAACTTTACAACAAAATATGTAATTTTTGAGAAAATAAAGTCATGATGTCGCAAAATTAAAGTAATAGAAATACTAATAAACTCGTAAGACTAAAGAAAAAGATTCTATTTTTAAGCTATATCGGCCAGTTCCCAGTGTCAGTGTTGCGATACGTATCGTTTTGTTTTATTATCGTTGGTTGGATGACGTCTGTGATGTCGTTCCTGCAGGGATCCTCCAGCTCCTGACGGCTCGAACGTCTCGGAAATTCCTCGCCTGTCGACTGACTCCAGACATGGAGACCAAGCTGCTGTTCATGACCTCCAGGGTAAAAATATAATCCTCTTCCTCTCACACACTCTGAGCTACAAACACAAACCGTAGTCAACTGAATGAAAGTGATTGAACCTGTGCTCTCAGGCTCTTAGTGACTAAATAACTGTTCATTTCAAGTTTGGACATAAAACAGATGCAGGTCAGTTTTTTATGGAACAATTGATCAAAATTGAACAAAAAATTGATCCAGAAGTTATTATGATGAACGATAACGTTGCTGTTTTGAGACAATATTCAAGTAATGTAATGGTAGAATAATGAAAGAAAACATTCTCAAAGATTAATAAACTTTAAAGTCTAACAAATATTTAACACTGGAACTGGAAACATTTTAAATATCCAAACTTCATAAACAAAACAACAGAAATGACACATAAAATTAATTAAAAAGTCGCTGTAAACAAAAAAAAAACTGAAGACTTTTGACATCCAGTTTTTATTTGAAAAAGAAAAACAAGAAATCATACAAATGGAAATGATTGAGTTTGTTTTAATTTATGATGCGATTAATTGGTTCATTGCTTATTGTGTTAGGCCTAACAATTGTATTAAATTTCCACAACAAATTTACACCAAACTTACTTTTAAATTTGTTTTTGTGTTATGGTAACTGAAAGCTTGGAAAAGATTATAACTTTGTGTTGCGTTTTTATGAGTAGATTTTGATTTGAAAGTTTTAGTTTTGTCCTAATTTATTCCGAACTTCAAACTAAATTAAAATTTAAAGATACTTTATTAATCCCAGAGGTAAATTTACATCATCTTCCTTGTACATCAGGCTTTTCAAAGTAATTATAAAACTATGTATCATTTCCTTCAGCTTCCCAGTTTTGCTGTATTTTGTGTTGGTGTTTCTCGCAAGTCTGAGATGTTCAGACTGTTGTTGACGGGATGTGGTGATTTCTGTAAGGCTGTGGTCATCTGGTTGAATTTGTGTCCTCACCTGCACCCAGGTGCGTTTCGGGCAGCAGAAGCGGTACCAGGACTGGTTCCAGAGGCAGTATCTGTCCACAGCAGAGAGCCAGTCGCTGCGCTGCGACCTGATCCGCTACATCTGCGGCGTCGTCCATCCCTCCAACGAGGTGCTGAGCTCTGACATCCTGCCGCGCTGGGCCATCATTGGCTGGCTGCTCACCACCTGCACGGTAAGAGGTCACGACCCCAGGCTCCCAAGGGGGAAGTGGTGTTTTTTAAACAAGCTAACTTGTGATCTTTTCCTGCAGTCGAACGTGGCGGCCTCCAACGCCAAGCTGGCCTTGTTTTACGATTGGCTGTTCTTCAACCCAGAGAAAGACAGCATCATGAATATCGGTAACAATGAAACATCTAGCAGTTAGTATGAAAACCAGTTTAACCATAAATATCCAAATAGTTCTGGGTCTTCAGGCATCAATAATTAATTCCCTCAGTCAGAGATCCACTGATCAATACCAGCTTTTAGTTTCCTTATAGACGTACAAAATCCTATTATGCAAAATTTGTATTTGCATGTTTTCACACGTCAACTTGGGTTCAGCTGAAGAGTTATTAAAAGAAAAAAAACCTTCTGGCCGTTTTTCGGTAATAATATAATATTTTTTGGTGTCTTAAAAACAACACACTTAAAAAACTTCCTGATTGTTGAGTCACATGGGCTGTTACCTAGCAACCCGAGCTCTAGAAAGTTTGGGTTTTCTGGTGTATATATAGGCCTGTGGCATTAAATCAATTTATCGCATGAAAATTAAAACTCAATAATGTCAAGTTGATGATTTATTATTTTTATTTTTTGTCTCTTTCTGCTAGTTATTGGTAAAACTGTATAACAAAAGTATTCAGTTTGGTGCTTTGATGTTTCAGCTGACTTTTTTTGAAAGAGATTTGTTTACAGAGTCTTTATAATTAACTTTATTTATTGTTTTGTTGTGGATATTTAAAACATTCAGTGTCAAATGTTCATTTGAATGTAACGTTATAGATTATTATAGATTATTGCAGTAATGTCTGGGACAATTTATCATCCAGCAAAATTTGTTGTCATGACGGGCTGTACAATGGCTGCTGGAAAAGACAAGTGTTTTGTTGTTGACTTGCCATCCAGAAACCACTTGCTGCATTCTTGTTGGTTGTGCAGTAGGCTCCACTTCTGCTTTTCAAAGATGTTCGGTTGTCTAATTTTGCATCTATTTGGTTCCAGAACCAGCCATCCTGGTGATGCATCACTCCATGAAGCCTCATCCTGCCATCACAGCCACGCTGCTGGACTTCATGTGCCGGGTAACACGCAACCTGGATACTAAGCTACACACCAAATCGTCTCCAATGAGTAACACATCTCCTCCTCACTGACCCCTCAGATCATCCCTCACTTCTTCCCTCCGTTGGAGTCTCAGGTCCGGCAGGGCGTCTTCAATTCACTCAACTTCATCATGGAGAAGAGGGTGCTGGCGTAAGAGCTGCATCTCACTCACCGTTTTATGTTTTTTAAACTATTCATGTTCTCCTCCCGCTGACTGATCTGGTTTGTCTCTCAGTCACCTTGCTCCTCTGTTCGACAACCCAAAACTGGACCGAGAGCTTCGCTCGATGCTCAGGGAGCGGTTCCCCGAGTTCTGCAGCCCGCCGTCTCCTCCCACCGAAGGTAGTGCATGCACACACTGAAAGCCACTTCACAGTAAGACTCGACAGGAAGCCAAAGGAAACGCCTTCAGCTGAAATGTTTCTGCGCCCTGCAGTGAAGATGGAGGAGGCGGTTTCCATGGAGATGGACAACCACGTCCTGGACAAGGAGGAGGGCTGCTACGACCACACGGAGGCAGCTTTCAGCGATGACGAGGAGGAAGTCAACAACAAAGGTAGAGAAGCGGAGAAGATTCACTACAACCCAAGGGTGCTCAAAGTAGGGGGCGGGGGCCAGTTGTGGCCCCTGGACTGATTACAAAATCTTCAATTACGTTTGAAGATTTTGAACCGTGTGACAAAACATATGTTCTAATCGGCTCAGACTGGTTTGATTTAAACAACCAGTTTAAGTTCAGCATGGAGTCGGGAACCATTTCCTTAAAACCAGTTAAAACCCAGATTAATCCAGGAGTTTCATTTTTATTTTTTTGTTTTATTTCCAAAGATGTACTTTATTTTTACACTGTAAGCTCTTCAACACAAACACAGATAGTTTTATATAAATAATGTAAAATAATCATTGGCAATATTGGTGTTAGTTTTGCAATCTACTATGTAAAATAACAAAAGTGAAATAAATGTATACATAAGTAAAATGAAATAATTTGTACCTCTTTAGTACTCCATAATGGGTTGTTTTAGGGCTGCAGATGTTCCTGGTGGACATCGCTCTAACTGTTGGCCAATCACTGTGCAGGAAAGAAGAGGGAGTTCCGGTTCCATCCAATCAAAGAAGCTGTGGTAGAGGAGCCAGCTGACATCACGCCCTGGCTCGACCAATTAGACGACACCATGAAGGAGAAGGTGCAGCAGATTCAGAAGACCAGGTGAGAGCTCAACGCCGCCCCCTTCAGGTTCTGTCTGGAAGTACGACTGTCTCCATGGCAATCGGGTTTCTGACGTTTGTCCTCCTCTCAGTGACACGGAGACTCAGTGCGAGGTCATGCAGGAGGTCGTGGATCTAATCATGGAGGTCAGTTCACTTTGACCCGAAGCAGAAAAAAATAGAAATGAATTAATTTGATCAAACAAATCAGTGTTTTTTGGAATCTTTATTTGAATTTTCACAGTGAAAGAGAGACTGTAATGGGCACTGCAGCTTCCTGTCTGTTTCGGTTATGTGACAGTTTGCACAAGCTTAGCTTTGCTTCTGGTTTTTAATCATTTAAACACTTAGAAACAACTAATGTGCATTTCAATGAGTTATAAAAAGACATTTGTTTTCTTCTGGGCCACAATGTAATTAAACCTGTAGTATGTAACTTTTCTAAAAATCTATTTTTTTACATATTTGTTGAAATTCTTACCATGTCATGACAGCATAAAACAAGTAATCTGTGAAAAAATAGAGGTCCTTCCTTCTTCCAATGCCAGCTAGAAACAACCAATGAGAGGCAGGAGGCGGGTCTTAGCGCTGCTCATCACCTCTTTTTTCCCCCGAGCTCTGCTAATGCTGCAGCTAGCATAGCCTGTTTTGAATGCTAAAGCTAGTTAGCATGGCTATAGATAAACGGTTTTCCTGTGACAATAAGTTGTTTCTCTGCCATTATCACGTTTAGCATTGCGTTCACAGGGTTGCTTGACAGCACTAAGACCCTCCTCCTGGCTGTGATTGGTGGTTTCTGGTTGAAGGTGGAGGAGGATTTTTTTTCACATATTATCTGTCCCATGTTATATTGTCACAACATGGTTTAACAAATATATAAGAAACATAATTTTTATAAAAGTTGCATACTTGGATCCGGTTGGTCGTTTCTGCGCCAGAATGAGTTCTTCCTGTTTTCCAGGATGACTTTGACACGGAGCAGATGTCGGCTCTGGCTTCCTGTCTGGCTGAGCTCTTTAAAGATCACTTCAGAGGGGAGGTTCTCCCCGAGGAGATCACAGAAGAGTGAGTCCTTCCTCCCTGACCCAAACTGCCGTTCCTCCGCTGGGCGCCGGTCCGTTTGACGTCTCCGCTGCTCTCTGCAGGTCTCTGGAGGAGTCCGTGTCCAAACCCGTGTGCCTGATCTTCAGGAACCTGGTCACCATGCAGGAAGACAACAGCGGCTTCTCGGTGCTGCTGGACATGTTGGCCGAGCTTTACCAGAAGCAGCCGAAGATCGGATACCACCTGCTGTACTACCTGAAGGCCAGGTGAGAAAACGGCCTTCGAGTGTCAATTATGTTTTTATTATTTTTTTATTATTATTTTTATTGACCCTTTGCACATATTCAGAACGCAACGCCATCTCCCATGATGGACATCAAAACAATCGGTGCGCTTCTGTAAAGCCTTCAATAAAAATACACTTGTGTATTAATATGGAGATAAATTAGTCTCGTAAATTTGTAAGCTTGCTTTGAGTTTGTTTTTCGTCTTTACTTTCCTTTTACTGTGGCTTTCAAAAAGTTCAATAAACAACAAACTGGACTAATAACCTTGTTTGTTCATAGAATGTGGAAATATTCATAACTATTGTGAAATAGAATAGAATATATCATAAACTGTAGGAGACAATGTTAAATTTTAATAAACTGTCTCCTAAAGCAGCCATGTCGAATTAAATTGTTTACCAATATAAAGTAGAAATCTTCTTTCTTCTGTCTTGATTCTTGATAGATTGGACAAAAACAAAACTGTTTATTGATTTATATCCAGGCAGATTATATATGTCGCATCAGCAAATTTCTTAGCTTTACTTTAAGACATTTTATAGAAATTGGATAAGAAATTTTGTTCCTATGAACATTTTTGTGACAGATTCCAACTCATCCCGCATTGTGGACATGAATCAATGCTGCGTAATAATGGCGCCTGCAGGCGCGCTGCTAGCGTTAGCAGCTAATAGGCGATGTCTCACACGTTAATGTATTTGATTCATGTGACCATGCTGACAGCAAAGCGGCGAACGGGAAGATGATGCTGTACGAGTCGTTTGCCCAGGCGACGGCGCTCGGCGACCTGCACACGTGTCTCATGATGGACATGAAGGCGTGTCAGGAGGACGACGTCCGGCTGCTCTGCTACCTCACGCCGTCCATCTACTCCGAGGTAAACGCAGGCTGACCTCTGACCCTGTCCCTCAAAGAGGCTTTAGAGAGGCTTTGTTGAGCCCTCCTCCCCCACATGTTGCTGAACACATTCCAATTGAAAGTGTGTGTTTAGTTTCCAGATGAGACGCTGCGGAGCGGTGAGCTGCTCAACATGATCGTAGCCGTCATCGACTCCATGCAGGTAACACCAGCACCGTCAGAGCAACACCATGAATATTCTTAAAGGGCCGGAACGTATAGCCAAAAAAAAAGTTAAAATATTAACAGAACGTGTCTACAATCAATAGACTCGTCTTAAAATTAAGTAATATTGAGCATTTCTGCATGTTGATCCACCAGGATTTTATGACAGTTTTCAAATTTTCCTTTTGTTTTTTCTTATCAAAATTACAGATTTTATGGAACTAATTTAGAAATATTTACACTCATCGATGACAGTAACTCTAAATTTTAGTTGCTCAACATAATAATCATTGACTATAACATGAAGTCAGTAGGAAATGCTGCCACCTGCAGGTCAGAGTTAGAATTACTTAATCCTGACGTTCATGAGAAAAATTTTCAATGAACCTATAATAACTTTTTCTGGATGACAAATTGTCAGAAGTTACTGCGATAAACAGTAATATTGATTTGAGACAATTTTAAAGTAAAATAATGCAAGAACACATTCTGAAACATCAATAAACTTTAAACACTGGAAATCGAAGACATTTAAAATATCTCCGAAAAATAAACAAAACAGAAACATCAAGTCAAATTAATTAAAAGTCTCTGCAAACAAAAGTCAAAAAAAGGACTTGCTGAGACTGAAAACCTTTAATATCCAATTTTTGGTAGAAAGAGAGGAAAGAGAAAAACAGCAGAAAATTCATTTTATAATTAATTGTGAATAAAAGGCCGACTTAAAACTGCATTAGTGTAAAAAAATGTGTGCCTGTTTTTTCTAGAAATTTCCACATTGGGGAAAAAAGTGATGGGATGAATTGATGTAGTTTGGCAGTAAACCGATTAAAACTGCTTTGATTTGATTGATAGAATATTTAAGCACATAATTGTTTTCCTGAAGTCTTTATATGTGTAGGTGTGTTAATCAACACACCTACAGTTATTGGTGTGTTGATTTCCTGGATGCGTCTGTGTTCAGCTACAGGAGCTGATGTGTCACGTGATGATGGGGAACCTGGTCATGTTCCGGAAAGACTCGGTTCTGAACATCCTCAGTAAGGAACCGAGATCCAGAGTGCGGTTCTGCTCCACTTGGGTGTGTGGACTCCAATGTGTTCTGTTTGTTTCTCGTCCTCAGTTCAGTCTCTGGAGTGGGAAACGTTTGAACAGTACAGCACCTGGCAGCTCTTCCTGGCCCACAGCATCCCACTGGAAACCATCATCCCCATCCTGCAGCACCTCAAATACAAAGGTGGCAACTTTGGTTGGTTGATTGGTTGATTGGTTGGTTGGTTTATGTATTGATTAATTGATGTATTGGTTGGTTGGTTGATGTATTGATTGATTGACATATTGATAACAGTTACTGGTCTATGTTGTGTTTTTAAAACGTTCTGTGTTTTTGTTCCCAGAGCATCCGGAGGCCTTGTCCTGTCTGCTGTTGCAGCTCCGCAGAGAAAAGTACGACCAGATGAAACGTGTTTTCACGTTGTGACCCGTCGCCTGGGCTAACGTCTCCATCTTTGTCCTGCCCTCAGGCCGAGTGAGGAAATGGTGAAGATGGTTCTGAGTCGGCCCTGCCACCCGGAGGACCAGTTCACCACCAGCATCCTGCGCCACTGGGCGTCCAAATACGACGACACGCTGGGGGAACACATCAAGGCTCAGCTGATCAAGAACAACAACCAGCCGCGCAAGAGGCAGAGGTGGGGACAACTACACATATCCCTTAAACCAAGGGGGCTCAAACTGGGGCGCAGGGGCCATTTCCCGCCCCTGAACTCATTCTTTGCGGTCCCTCACCACAATTCAAGAGTAAATTAAGCTGACTATTAATGCAGCGGGAGCAGACATGTCCAAAAATGTCAGAGCAGGTAATGTTTTGGTGAACTGAGCAGATATTTGAGACTTACACACTTGCATTCTCACCTAAAAACGTTGTACAAAATCACGTTGAGTCATTTTAAGTGTAATATGACCAAATAATTTGTTGCTCTTCACCGCTATTGTCGCTCTGACTGAACATCTGGTTGGGACCTGCAATGAATTATGGGATATGGTGGGCCATGAAGGATACACTGGACCCATCCTTCAAATCTGGGGAAAAGAAGGACACATGTAAAAAAGTCTTCAAATTCGGACAGGCCTTGTCGCCACGCTATGACGTAATCGGCCTACAAATCCGTCCTTCGAAGGATGCAGATCCTGAATTCAGACACAGCTACAGACTCTAAAGTTCACCTTGATACTCTAGATCATTTCTCTTTAGGTGCAAAAAGTGGAAAATTAAGTTTTGCAATTTTTTCTATCTGCTTAGCAGTGAATCAGTTTCCTCTTGTGTGTTTTCAGTCTTCGTAGTTCAAGCAGCAAACTGGCTCAGCTGACCCTGGAACAGATTCTGGAGCATCTGGACAATCTGAGGCTGAGTCTAAGCAACATGAAGAACAACTGTGAGCACGCACACACACACACACACACACACACACACACACACACGCTCAGAGAGCAGCTGATCCTCCTCAGGTCAATGATGCCTCTCCTCTTTCTTTCAGTCTTCAGTCAGACTCCCATCCTTCAGGCTCTGCAGCACGTTCAGGCCAGCTGCGACGAAGCTCACAAGATGAGGTGAACATGCTAAAATCACGCATTCATCACAACGTCACGGTTTCTTTTGACCGGCGCTCTGCCTCTGCAGGTTCAGCGACTTGTTCGCCCTCGCGGAGGAATACGAGGATTCTCAGGCGAAGCCTCTGAAGTCCAGGAGGAAAGCGCCGGCCTCGTCGCCTCGCTCCAGGAAGGGCGTAGCTCCGCCCACCAACAACGAGGAGGAGAGCGCCTCCAGCAGCGCTTCAGTACGTAAAAATAACTTCCTTTCTGTTTCTGATCGCCTCAGTGAAGAGAAGAGTAAAACAGGCTGCCATCTGTGCTTCTTAAACTGCATAAAATGAATAATCCATTTTTTGTCGCCTTTATATCAATGTATTTTCTCAAAGATGCGAGAGAAAATAATTTACCCAGGAACACATCATGTTCACACTTCAGTTCGATCCAACTTTTACGTAATTGTTGTGAGACGGAGTTAATTACAGAATCAAATTTCTTTTAAGTCAAATTTGACATCTATAGGATTTTTGTAACAACTGCAGTTAAGTTTCTTGATGACGCTGTAAATCACATTACGAGTCTGGAAAATTTGCAGTACTGCCCCTTTAAGAACTTATTTAGACATCCTGAACTTGTCCGAGCTTCATTATGTTTTATATAAAAATGAATGATGTTTGTTTTTAAGCTAAGGCTGAGCTCCAGGTGTTTCTGTTTGTCTGTTTGCCTCAGGAGGAGGAAGACTCAAAGCCCAAAGCGCCAAAGAGGAAACGGAGAGGCTCGTCAGCGGTTGGCTCCGACAGCGACTGATGAACCCTCTGACCAATCAGACGCCAACAAACACCGCCATCCGACCAGTCGCTCAGCGCTACCCATTCCCCACGGAGGATGAAGGAGGCCCCAGGTTTGGGACTTCAAATCCGGGTCGGGGGTCGACTTCCTCCTGATGTGATTGATGCCGTTGCCAGGGAGACGAGGAGCGGGCTGCTGGGTTTTGATCGCGCTGGGAGTAGAAACCACAAACTCTTGATCCAAACGGACCGATTTTTAAACATGATGAGAGGGGCCCCTGTAGTTTTTCCCTGGAGGGGCGTGGACTCGTAATTTCCTGCTGTTTTTTAGCAGCTACTTCTTGTTTGTCTTGCTGCAGTAAAAGCATCTGTTGTTCCTTCATGTCAGGTGAATTCTTCATAAACACAAATGATGGTTTCAGGGTCTCATTCGTCTGTTACTTGGGAGTTTTGATTAGAAAGCAAAGCGGGGTTTGCTCAAAAGCACAACGGCAGCAATAGTCATTGTCACAGCAACCTTTCGCTGTATTTACTGTTGTGTACAAAAACAATCTCAAATGTGGTTTTGATTTTTTTTTTTTCTGTCCAGAGCTTCTGATCTTTTCTGACTTTTGGCAGAAACACGATGAGATGGATGCAGATCAGCAGAAGTATTTTTTTATCGACAGTGAATCTTTTACAGAGTCGCGTTTTTAAGGATCTTTGAAACTAAATCTTTAAGCTTTCCAAAGCCGAGTCAGAAAATAGCAGAAGTCCTCTGCCGCAATTTTATTTACAGCCATATGTCTTTACAAAGCCTTAACTGGTTCAGACACAGAGCTGATTTTACAGGATGTGAAAAATAATAAATGAGCAAATGATGAACGGCTGATGTTTGTAGAAGATGAAACCATTTATCTCTTCATGCACATCTCTGGAGCAAAAATGGTGCCTCCTTGACCCAAACCCGGATTAAATGGATTCATTTTCATTTCTGGATCAAAATTAGCTTCTTTCCAGGAAACAACATCGTTGTGGGAAAGTATTTTCTCCTAAACATTTTTTTTCTAATTCTTTAACAAGTTAGAACATCTCCATTAACATTACAAAAAAAAAATTCTTACACAAAATAATTTATAAATAATTCAGGTTTCAGTTCATTTTTTAGCTCTTTTCAGAGTGGACCGTTTTAGGGCCTCCTGGCACTTTAAAACCAAAGAAGCTGCTGCTGGCTACGCCCCCCAACTCAACATTTACGATCATTAAAATGGCTGCAAACAGATTCGTAATCAACCTACAAGAATTACTGTAGGTCCAGCAAGTGGTTTCTGGATGACAGGTCAACAAAACGCTTATCTTTTCTAGCAACCACGGAATAGCTGGATAACCAGTTGACTAAAAATGTTGGAACTGTGCTTGGGTTGCTATGTGACTTAAGTGATGCAAGTAACATCAACATGCTAGTGGACTGGGGTTGCTATGTGACGGCGCCTTGCCCATTGAATTTGACATTGAGGAGGTTTTTGAAACGGCTTCTTTGCCAGACACCAAACTTTTAACTTGTTGCCAAAGAAAGATGATTGTGTTATTTGTTTTTGTTTTGGACATTTATAAAAATACGGAACAAATCGTATCGGTTCACGGAACACTTAACAGCCAATTCCATATTTTAGTGGACGGGTGGCAACCCCATGCCCTCATGCTAACATTAGCCTTGTATCTAAAAGACAAGGCATTTTACATAAACATGAAATTATCATTCAGTCACTAAATTAACATGCTGGTGCCACACATGCTACCAACAGCATTTAAGCTAACCTTAGCATTTTGGATCATTTTAATTTATACACTAATATTAGCATAGTGAATGATGTCAGTGGCATGTGTGATGTCACACATGATGTGTGATGCTGACTTAATAAATGGATTAAGTCAATCCATTCATTTACCAACTGAATGGATTGACTTAATTCATTCAGTGGGTAAATATTGCGAATTAGATATTAAATTATGTAAAATTCTTATTTTAAGTACATGGCTAATGTTAGCATGATGGCTGTCATTAGCATCTTGAGTCACTAGCATGTTGATATTACTTGCATCACTTAAGCCAAACTTAGAATTTTGTACAATTTTAATTTATACACCAATGTTCGCATACAGAGTGGAGTATTTCTGTGTTAATCAACATGCCAGATACTACGTCCTGCTGGTAGTATCTACAGTCTAGTGACTCAATATGCTAATGATAACCATCATGCTAACATTAGCCTTGTACCTAAAATAAGCATTTTACATGATTTCATATTTATTAGCAATATTTGTCATAGTGAATGGATTACATAAATGTCAGCAAAATAAGTGCTAAATATGTGCTAAAATAAGCATTTTTGCTCATTTTTATTTGTTAGCTATGCTTATCATAGATTAAGTCCTGTTAAAAACAAAGGTTATACAAATAAGTTTAAAAAGACCTAACTAACTACTAGTTAAACAATTGTAAAATTACCTAACTATTAACAATTTTTAAAAAACCTAACTAACTTCTAAACAATTTTAAAACACCTAAGTACTAAAAAAATTGTAAAATGACCTAACTATTAACAATTTTAAAAAAACCTAACTAACTACTAAACAATTTTAAAATGAACTAACTATTTTAAAACACCTAAGTACTAAAAAAATTGTAAAATGACCTAACTATTAACAATTTTAAAAAAACCTAACTAACTACTAAACAATTTTAAAATGAACTAACTATTTTAAAACACCTAAGTACTAAAAAACAATTGTATAATGACCTAACTATTAATTTTAAAACAACCTAACTTCTAAACAATTTAAAATGAACTAACAACTAACCAACCATTTTAAAACGACCTGAGTTCTAAGCAAACAAATTTAACACGACTCAACTGGAGGAACGAACAGCTCCACAGGTGTGATTTCATCCCACATGGGCTCCAGTTCGAATTTCTCTTTCTGCAGGTGTTTGATTGACAAACTCTCGACAGAAGTCAAGACCGTAGTTTTGTTGACCGTGTGAGAGGTTTTGGGTTTTTCAGATATATTCTCTGGAGCAACCTTAGATGAATTTCTCTGTGTCAATCTAGTGAAAAAACCCTGGATCCTCCCTTTCAGACCTTCAAACAAAGATTTTGACTCCACTGGGCGTCCAACGGCTTTCTTGCTATCCTCTGCATGCAATCTGACAAAAAGATCTTTTATCACCATTTTAGTTTCATCAACCATCTCACTGATTGCTTGATCAACGTGACTGCTGGAATCGTCAGAGTCAGAGTCTAAGCTGGAATTGACTCTGTCCACCACATATTTGACAATTAGCTTGTTTAAATTGTCAGTGTGGTGAGTTCGGACATGCCCCCTGACCTTTACGACTCTTGCAAAGGCTTCAGGCACCTTGTTGGCAACTATTGCTTCGATTGCTTCAGTGGAGCAATTGTCCTTTGGAAGACTATCCAGAGCATTCGATATAAAGAGCTCCAAGATGTCTTCCAAGATCCTGACTAGAACGTGGATGGTGGTGCGAGCGGGATCTCCTGTTGCCAGACGCATGTACTCCATCCAGGTCAAGCTGATGAAAAGTGGATGGATGATGCCCCTCAGGGTGTTGACCGTGACGCTCTGGGTTGGGGAACTGGTTCCACTTGGCATGATGGCTGTAGACTTCTCTTGTTTGGGGATACGCTTCAAGTTTTCTGCTAAAATAGCGAGAACAAGTATTGATCCGGGCTCTGCGACAAACAAGTGCAAAGTGATGGTTAGAGAAGAAGAAGGAATTAAAAACCCTCACGTGTGTGACGTCCGTTCACACGTCATAGGCATCAAACCCGCCGAATGCTATGTTCTTACGTAATAAGTCACGTTTCCTAGACTTATGTTAAAAGCGGTGACCGAATTTAGGGTCTGCATCCGGGTCCTTCGGAGACAGCGAATATCGACGACCGGAAGAGAGAAGCTATTTAGCCTTTAGCTAGCTGCCCAGCCACAGCGTAGCTTATGTTGCCTAGCAACCGTACGTAACAGCGTGAAGCGCAGGAGAAACAAGGAACAGAGGGTTTTTTTTTTTTTTTTAGCCATTTCTCCTGATTTCTCTGTCATTCTTCGTCTTTTGTAGTAAAGGCCGTTTGATAGTAAAAAGAGGAACTCGGTTAGTTTTATTCTAAGATGTTCAAATACGTACAAGAAATTAATATGAGCAAATTTACACATTTTCAGGTGACATGTTTGTTAAACGGACTGAGTCGTGATGACGCGGCCAGTGAAAACGTTTCAATCGGGTTTCTGATTAATTAATGCGATTGGTCCCACCTGCAGCTGCGCATACAAACAACACCATGAAGGTCCAGTTGCTCCCGCCCAGCCCCAGAAACTGGTTTGAAGAGAACTGTTCAGGTATGGTTATTCCATTATTTTTGAATAAAAGTTGTTTATTGACTTATTTTATTCTCTTGAGCAGGGAAACTGCTTCAGGATTGTGAAGTTGAGTTGCTGGTTCGTTTGGACCTCATCGGAATTTTATTGGCTCTTCCCTGAAAGTCTAAACGTTTACCAACTACCTCCAAGTCGTAAACTTTATCCATTGACTCTTTTTGTCTCGAGATAAACCCATGAAACCCGGAGCGTCCATTCGGGATCTAGTTCTGACTCCGGAACGGATCCCGACCTTCATCATCCCCTCTTCATACCGGGCCTCCCCGATGTTCGGCCCGGACTCCCCGACCCGCTCCAGGCTCCTGTTGGAAGGTGACGACGAGGACCCAACCGGAACCAGCCCGACCCGGTGGTCCTCCAGGCGTCGCCTGCTCTCTCCGCGCGACTGCCGCTGTCGCGTCGCCGACATGGACCCGACGACGCGCGCGGCGACGTCGCTGCCGCACGTACCGAAGGTGACGACGTCTTACGGCTTCCGCGGCGTGTTGGCCACCACGCCGTCCACCAACCGGAGGGAATCTCTGTTTCACCGCAGCAGACGCGTCAAGGTGACTGTTAACGCCCCGGTACCAAAGGACACAGCCGAAGTTTCTCCTGCTGGCGGTACCGGACGGTCCTGGGTCGGCTTGCTGGGCCTGAATGTGATGGAGGAGCTGAAGAAATCTGCAGCTGCTCTGAAGGCGCTCAGTCCTGCTGCTCGTTCTCAAATGAGATGATCTCAATTTACTCAAGTGTTGTATTATGGCCAGGTATTTTAATAAAGTGTTTTATTTGAGTTCCTAAAGTTTATTTCAAGTTTATTTTTACTAGACCATCTGCATAATATGCTTCAGTGTCAGCTCCAGGTCTAAATTGAAATTCGGGCTGGGTTATAAAGAACCTAATTTAATGAGTGTGGCTGCTGAAAGTTGTACTTTTTACTTTACATATACATATTTTTTCGTATCTCTTTTCAACTAAGTTTAGTAATGACGGGAAAACACATTGACTGTAAATTACAATTGTGTTTTCACTTCAATTAGTAACTATATCAGCTCCTTTGACCCCTTAGTGGAGCCGAGAATCTATCAAAGGTGTTCACGGAGGTCAGTGATATTTACACGAGCGTCTTGCCATATTTTCTGAAGTTGTATCGAATAAATATGCACACATCTTGCCATACTTACCCAGAAAACGCATATTGATGGCGTCACGTAAGCACCGCGTCGCCGGAAATGTAGTTTATTTTTTTATTTTTTTACTTTTTGGAGGCAGAATAGGCTGATAGTTGTGGCGGTAAGCGTGTCTGAGAAGCGATGGATCCTGGTGGTTAAGGTTCCGTCCACCCAGAAGCAACACGGGACTGATAAAGACTCCTGGACGGGTCGTTTTCACCGGAAATCGGCTGCGTTTGGAAGGAGCGGGCCGTTAGCCGCTAACCGGCTAGCTGGAGTGTTGTTAGCTTTGTAGCCGCATCCTGGGCTTCTTATCAGCCTGACCACTCGGAGACCCAACAGGCGTGAGTTTATTTATCTGTGGGCGGCTGGTAATCAGACTAACTGCTAAATATCAGGATCCAACATTAACTTTAACACCAACAGCAGCTCAGTGAGAGGCTGCTGGTGACCAACATCTGCTGAAATCTGATTGTTTTCATTTCACAGGAGCTTCAGTCTGCTGCTGGAAGAGGCAGTGAGTTTCATTTCACATTTTGTACATTGTAAAGTGTTTCTACATGTCTAAAGTTTGACTAAAGGAATGTTCTTTCTCATTCAGAGATCAGAGGTCATGTTTCTCCACTATGAGCTCAGTCCGAAAACGCCTGAAATTAAGCCCAGCCAAGCAGCAGCTTGCCTCCAGCAGCTTCGGCGTTGCACCAGCGCCGCTCAGCCCTGATGATGGCACCCTGCTGCCACCACCTGCCCCATGTCAGGCTGAGGAAGAGGAGGAGGAAGGCTACCTGCTGGTGGAGGAAGACACCACCGACTCCAGCCTCATCATCACTATGGGTAACAAACATGTTTGTTTTCCTGTCTTCACATTCGACATTGATAAAGTACTGATTGTTGAAGCACATTTTATAAGTATTTGAACTTTTCTCTAGTTTATCATGTTGCAAACATAAACTTTAATGTGTTTTAATGAACACAAAATGTTGAACTGAGGTTTTTTTTTTTAAATATAGCATTCATTTGGAATCAAGATAAGGCAGAGCTGAAACTAATGAATATTTTAATTGTATATTCTGATTATTCCGTCTAAAATTTCGTTCTTTCTTTTCAAATATTGAAGGAATAAATTTAAAAAAAGTGAATGTTATTACTGATTAGATTTTTTGGGAAATTGCTGCAGATAAAATTAAGTATGTCTAGGTTTTTAATTCATGTTATTATTTTTTGGTATTTTCTGCCAATTTTATAATTGACTTTTTATTTTTACCAAACTAAATGTTATATTTTCTTTTGTCTTTTATCTACATGTGTTTGTAGTGAAGCACCTTAATCACCTGCGGTTGCTATAAATGTGCAATATAAATAATCTTTGAATTATTAAATGATTCCTGTTATTTCAAACTACTACTATTTAAACTCTTGACATAATCCATATTAAAATCCTAATAAAAACACTGAAATTTGTGGTTGAAGCACAACAGAATGTGGAAACTTCTTTTTCTACTGACAACTCAAACATCTCTGTCTCAGAGGACAGCCAGAAGGAAGTAAAGGCTCAGAGGAAGAAGGCAGCGAAACGGAAAAAACGGATGCTGAATGAGAAGGAAGTTGATGGTCAGGGCAGGAAGTCAGAGACGGAGGAGGAGGAAGAGACGGGTGTGGAGGTGGAGATCGACAAAGATCTGGACCAGGCTCTGGAGACGAAGTCCAAACAGCACAACCTGACCACTGTGAACGTTAAAAACATCATTCATGTGAGTTAAGGCCGAACACACTGAGGCTTTTTCTGTCTTTTTTTTCCATCCCAAATGCAGATGGACTCTGAGTGTCAGGACAGAAATGGTGAAATTTTTATTTTTACTTTGTATTTTGCAACTAAAAATTATTTTAGCTTATTTGATTATTTTATTCTTCATTCTGACAATTATTTGGATAAAAAATGTCACATTTTACAAGTTTTTCATTTAACTACTTAAGCCTTTTTTATACAAAATTACTAATACATTAAAAATGCAAGTAAACAAATATTTAACTAAATAAATTAATTCTTTTTTTTGTCTGAAATGCAATAATTGCGTTCTTTTAGATCTTTTTGATCTGAGTGAAACTAAATGTTCCACATGAGAAGTTAAATATATCTGCAGGTAAAGAAAGGTGTTTTCATCTTAAATGCAAAATTTATTGTATTTTGAAATTTATTGTAACTTTAATGTAAAATGTATTTTATTGTATAAATTTGTATTTTGTGCAGTTTTGGGTTAATTTCTGCTCTGAAGATGCTGTTTTTTAGCACATTATCTTTTTTTGACTCTGTATATTCCAGTTGATGATGAATCAATTTCTAAATTAATTGATGATTATTTAAATAATTGATTAATCACTATTACTTTGATTGTTTCAGCCCTAAATGTTGGTCAAGTGGTTAAATATTTAACCACTTGACCAAAGGAAAAGTCCAACACAATGAATTTAACAATAAATAAATAAACCAATGAAACAGTTGAAAATCTGTTTAAAATTTCATTTTAAAAAATAAATTGTAAAGCTACTCTGTACATAATAAACATAAGATTTTGGAAAAGACACTGAAATTATAAGTTATTGAGTTTTTTTCTATTTATGGAGATTCATGCAAGCAAATTAAAATGGCTTGATCTATAATGTTTTTTTGTATATTTGTTTTCCAGGAAGTGATCACTAATGAACATGTGGTTGCAATGATGAAAGCAGCCATCAATGAGACAGAAGCCGTTCCTCCGTTTGTGAGTCTTCAGTGAAAATGAAAACGCTTCGTGCAGCTCCAGTAGAGTTCTCACATTCTTATTTTCATTTTCTGTTTCAGGAGCCTAAAATGACTCGATCCAAGTTTAAAGAAGTGGTGGAGAAGGGTGTGGTGAGTCTGTTTCTGAAGAGATAAATGATCTGAAATGCAGCTGCAGCCACAGTTTGTTCATGTTTTTTCATCAGGTGATTCCCACCTGGAATATCTCACCCATCAAGAAAAGCAGCGACGCCACCAAGGTAAACCACAACAGTGCAACATTTTACCATAATCTGTCAGTCTGAAATTTTTCTGTTCTTCATTAAAAACTCACTGTTGGTTTTTATCATTTCTACTTAATCCTGTTTAACTCATTAAAAATCAAACAATATTGTTTTATTCAAATCATCCCTTTTTTTTGTCGATATGAAATTGAACTTTTATTTTAGAGATTCTGTTTATTCTCTCTTACTATTTTTGATTCCAAAAAACTGTGAAGTTATAAAGTTATATGTTGTCAATAAATGATGACGTTTTGTCCCAAATAATTTTGTTTCAGGCTCCTCAGTTTGTGGACATCCCACTGGCCGAGGAAGACTCTTCTGATGAAGAATATCGCCCAGACGAGGAAGAGGAGGATGAGACGGCTGAAGATGTGAGGCTCTGATTTTAATAGCTACATTTCATTTATTTTCATTAATAATTAATTCCTGTCAGGGCTGGACTGTATGGCTGAAAAATGTTTCACAATGCAGGTGCTTCATATCAGCCAATATAGATAATTATTGATTCTTTATTCTTTTGTTTGTTTTAAATATCTGAAATTCTGCCAGACTAATGACAAGACCTTTTTTGTTTTACCCAGTTTTACTCCACACAGTCGTTTTCTATTTTTGAGTTACGAAAGTCGTGAAACTTTAAACTGCTGCTGTGCCAGTGACGAGTTGGTTGTTGCTAGGTAGCCACAGAGAGAGTGAGTCACCAACCTGGTTTAGCCTTCAGAGGTTGTGTTGCTAAAGTCTTTCCTTTGCCTACATCTCCCAGAATTCTGTGCAGTTCTGGATTGGATTTCAGTGAAATAACTGACTATTTGGTTATCCATTGATATTGATCACTTGTCTATAGAGATATGTATTCTTGGTTTCTTGGCCCAATTTTCAGTTGTTTTTATTTATTTTCATTATCCAGACGTTCCAGGAGAGCGACATGGAGAGCACAGCTTCGTCCCCCAGAGGGACTCGGCTGAATCGAGCCGAAGACGACAGCTGCAGCCCCTGGCAGGTAGCGACTGATAACCGCCGGATTGGCTGAAAGTCACCATTATCTACGGTCATTCTGCTTCTTTGTTTTGTCAGACGTCTCGAATTCGGTCCCGCCGTTTGAAGGAAGGGTTAATGGGGCCCCCGCCTCCTCCTAAAGCCCCGCCCTCCAAAGGCACGACGGACAGCAGCTTCCTGGAGAAGCTGCACGCTGTTGAGGAGGAGCTAGCTGGCTGCATGGAGCCGTACCAGGTAACTTCTAGCAGGGCCGGCCAATTTGATCAGTTACTCTGTACTTAAGTAGATTTTTTTCACCAAATACTGTTTTTTACTCCTACTTGAGTAGTTTCTTGGACAGCTATTTTTTACTTGAGTAAAAATATGTCGAAGTAGTGCTACTTTTACTTGAGTACAATTTTTGGCTACTCTCCCCTCCTATGTATTTAAGCATGCCATATTATTTCAACCTTTTGAAGATTTATGTAAGCCTTCATTTCAGGACAAAGATGATTCTGATGGACTAAATATAAAAACATGCCACACTTTTCAGATTTTTATTTGTTTCAAACCTTGAAAGCTAAGCATAATTTC